TGTGTATATGACTGTGTATGTGTCGGTGTGCTTCTGTTTGTTAATGTGTAAGTATGTATGTGGCAGTACATGTACAGACATCCCAGCAATCAAACACCAACATACCACACACTCCTGCAAACACAAACATGGCATAAAAAACACCCCTGAACCGTAACTCCAAAATTATATACAAACACTAAAACACCAATACTACACACAAATGTGCATCTGCATTTAAAATCCAACACTACATCCAAACACACCTCTGCACGCAAATGCAAACATTACATACAAACACATCCCTGTATTAAAATGCCAAAATGATATACAAACACTAATGCTGCACCCCTGCTCCTAAGTACTGCAATCTGTTTGTTATCTGTAGAAATTAGTGTGTGTTTATATAGTAAACAAAAAATAAAAGATTGCCAAAAAAGAAGACATTATGCTCTGCTAATTGAAAGGTTTATGCAACGGCATGACATTTGTTTTCCACGATGTTGATTCACTATGTCATTACACGGAAAAAAAAATTAATTGGGAACCCCTGACATATATGCACATCTGTGTACTAGAGAAAGGTAATTGGCAGCTGGAGTGTTTTCTTTCTTTTTTCAGAGCATGCTGGTGTTATATCATCAATGTATGTGTATGTTAGATTGTATTGCCCTATTTAACACATTATTACGTTACAGCAACTCTTCTGCTAGGATCTGAAGTAGGCTACCAGGGTCGTATTATGTATTTCACCACGTTATGATGTTGAATCGTAAATCAATGCAGAATATACTGGGGGTGGGGGTGGTACCTGGGAGCCACCTTTAGCTCCATGTGCCCTCACTGAGTTCAGATTTGTCAGGAAGGGGGGGATTGAATGAAATCGTGAATAATACCAGCTTTCGGGACATTGTGTAACCCACACAGCTGCAAAAGTGCTGATCAAAACCCAACAAGTAGACTTTTCTTATAAAATTGGATTAGAATGTCCTTTCAGAGCAGTGAGTCAGACTAGAAAAGCCAACTCTGTCATTTTCTCTTCTACAGGTGTTAATATACACATGGGTGAAAATTAATCTAAAACATGCAAAACCAATCTGAAACTTGGTCTGCCACCAGCTGTTAGAGCAAACAGGGACACCTAGTGGACATTCTATGGTACTGACAAACAATATAATTACATTGTAGCACACATTGCACAATCAAACTGCATTGTTTAAGAGAAACAGAAAAACAAAATGTGTTCTACAAACACAAACTGCTGGCCCTGGATCAGCGACTTTTCCGAAATGTGATAACTCATGTGGTCTGAATTTGCATTTAACCTGTAGATTGGGGCATTTTCCCTTTTTTTGTAGATTTTGCAGAAAATTTCAGTTAAAGGATAACTATAGTGACAGGAAAACAAACTTGTTTTCCTGACACTATATCATCCTCAGGGCTGAAGGGGTTAAAACCCCTTTATCTACTTACCTTAATCTAGCGCCGGCCTCCCTCGGTGCTGGTGACCTCTTCTCCCCCCCCAACGTCCGCTCCTGAGTGGAGCCAAATGCGCGTACATTCAAACAGTCCTATGGACACTGGATGCGAATGTTGCATCCAGCGTCGCAGAAGCGTCTATAGCTGCTGTCAGGAAGACAGCCACCAGAGGCTGGATTAACCCTGCAATGTAAACATAGCAGTTTGTCTGAAACTGCTATGTTTACATCTGAAGGGTTAAAACCTGGGGGGTCTGGCACCCAGACCACTTCATTGAGCTGAAGTGGTCTGGGTGACTATAGTGTCCCTTTAAGTGTAAAAACTAGTTTCATTAGCAACAAGGAGAAGACAAGATAACTGGCCTACCATAAACACATACAGGTATAGTGTAGTGCACATGTGGTGCAGTTCTTAGATGTAATTCTCACTGATGTTATAGGTTTGTCACACCATTTGTTACATATTTGATATTAATCTGACAGTGAGAAGGATCACTTACCATTTCCATTCATATATGTTTTCATATATTTTTAGGAACTAGACAACACAGAGCATAATTTGAATGGCCATTTCTATTGCTATCCCAAGTCAAGAGGTTTTACAAATCTCCAGTAGGTGACAATATAGTGGAATAAAATGGATTTTACAAATATTTCCCGTATATCAAGATATGTAAATCTATTGGAGGCAGGACATATTAAACTTGTCCTTGTGGATAAAAGTCTGTTGTGAGAAATGATGTACCATTTATATGGGTACACATACTGTGAAGGGTATCAGAGCCCAAACAGCTCCTTACAAATACAGTAGTTGATATTATATGTCACTATTTAGTCTTCATTTGTTACTTATATACTTGAGTGCATATGCTCTTCACATGCTAGGGAAGCAAAGCAGGAAAGAAAAAGTATATACATTTTTAGGAACTAAACTACAATAGAGAATTGTTGGTGAACACATTAAATTGATTTTGTTAAACTTCAATTTCTAACTCAAATGTATATTTGTGTCTTTCTGCTAATTTAAAGCTACGTACCTCTTAAAGAGACACATACATACTGTGCTTTTTAGTTATAGTTTAATTACTATTGAAAAAATTAGTATCCCATTTATATGCATATATATCGCAATCAAATATAAAATAAATCTGCAGTATTTACAAATATAAGTTATTTTTAAATTGGAATCCGTAACTTCGCATAATTAACTAGAGACCTACAAAATCCCTTATTTGAAAAAATGTTAAAGGACCACTAAAGGGTCAGAAACACAAACATGTATTCCTGACCCTATAGTGTTAAAATCCCTATCTAGCCAGCCTTGACTTCCTAAACATAATACAATTTTACCTTATTTCCAGCACCGTGTGGATCTGCTGGCACTGGCTTTACCCCCAATCCACATCCATGGCTGACATTATCAGAAGTGATGATTTTAGCCAATTACAATGCTTTCCCATAGGAATGATGATCACAGCCAAGTAGGGCAAACAGGGGGCAGAGCCAAAGGCAGCCCGAGCCAATCAGCATCTCCTCATAGAGATGCATTGAATCAATGCATCTCTATGAGAAAAGTCCAGCGTCTCCATGCAGAGTGTGGAGATGCTGAACAACACTGACCCAGGAAGCACCTCTAGTAGCCATCAGAAGAGTGGCCCTGGAGGTGTCTCTAAGGAGCAATGTAAACACTGCATTTTCTCTGAAAAGACAATGTTTACTGAAAAAAACACTGCAGGGACTGACTATACTTACTGAAAAACAGCTATATTGAGCTGTAGTTGTCCTGGTCACAATAATGTCCCTTTTTTGTATTTATTTTAGTTAAATTTAAGACTAGAACACACACAAACCCACATGTTTGATAGTGGATTTTTCCACAGAAAACGTTTGCAGTCCCTAGCCCAGTATGTTGCAGATATATTGTTATTTCAGAAGTCGCCCATCCTGCTACAGCAGTTAGCAATTTAGTAAAGTGGCCCCTTACACTTCCTAGAGTCATACGTGTCACGGCTGACATGTCAATTTCTCCTCTGCGTGATGTGACATAGCTGATCCCTATAAATCTTTAAATGTGCCAAAGGCTTGCCAGACATTTTTCTGCACTCATAGAACAAATAGTGAGTGCCTTCCAGATAAGCCCTCTGCATAGAAGGGTAAACTATTAAATTATAGATGGTAGTAATTAAAGGAATACATTTACATCTCGGGATTTGTAATAGTATGTCTACTTATCCCATGTATTTAACAAATATGTATTTAAGAAGTGTGAAAAATGAAATGTGGAATTCTATGCCTTTTTACTAATTTTTTCCTTTGAATTCAGCAGCATACAGCAGTCAGCATAGAGAAAGCCTCCCTAGAAAATGAGAAACTAAACAATGCTTCTATTTCTCCTCTTCTTTTGCAATGTTTACCCTGACGTTGCCTAGTCTGAACTGGATTGTGCTGTAATTTACTAAATCTTTTAATATAACGTTCAAAGAAAGCAGAGCATCTCATGAAAATAAAAACCCCAAAAACATTTTTTTAGGTGATTTTCAGTGGTTTATTCAACGGTGTAAATTCCATAGAGGTGACTGTTTCCCTTTAAGGTTTAGTTTACAACACAGAATGAGATCACACAATACCAGAAGACTCTTGTGTACAGGATTCAAAATACTTATTGCTCCAATGTGAACAATTTCACCCATGGTTATATAAATATACTAAATGTCTATTTAGTTCTAATTTCTTTGAAAAATGCATTTGCATTCAAACACAATCTGTAAATCAATAAGGTAGATAAGTCTGCAGAAAGTCCAGTAGTGATTGAGGGATGTTGAGATTTCTTTGATTACCAATCATGAGATCTATTAAAGGGATACTCTAAACACACAAAAACATAGATGTTATCCCTATTTTTGGACAATGTAAAATGTTTCTGAGAAATGACAATATTTACATTCGTCCAAAAACACACCTCTAGTGGATGTCAAAATACAGACCAAGAAACCGCACATACACACACAAAATATAGTAAAGCTTACAAAGTTACTTAAAATGACCTATCATAGCAAACAAATATGGGGATTCGGTTACACTATATATATCCATATTTTAACACATTATCTCCCATGTTAAAATTCGTATAGGACCCACCAATATTGTAATTCTAGTATTCCAGACAGACACAAGTCACTTGCTTCTTAAAACCTTATCTTTACTGTTAGAGGATTCCTCTTAAATAGGCAGATCACAAGTAGTGTGCATGGAATGGTCTTTTGACACAATATTTTATATCTTCCAGCAAAGCAAGGGTTAATGAGTGTAAATATTACAGGACTGTGCTATCTGTTTTATCAGGATGAGCAAATCATTATCACCCTGCTATCCAGTTAGTATTCCAATTTCACAGAATCAAAGGCAATGATTTAAATCTTTTATTACTATAATTATGAAATCAGTGAGACATTTGCATTGCCAAGCGTTTCCAATAATACTGCAGATCTTTAGTAACATACAGATGAGACCATACACAGATATTACAGAGTAACAGATCACGTCTCAGACACACATCCACCAATCAGTTGCAGCAGCTGCAGCTCTCGCATCCCTTTTCACACTGACAGCCCTGGCTGCATTTACTGCACTCGGCTGGACAGCAGGAGCAGCAACCTGTGTGAGAGGAGGGAGAAACAGCAGGTTACTCACTTAACAATATACCTCAATAGTGGTTTCCAAACAAGGGTGGATCTAAAGCCCAATCACAGGTGTGGCACTATTCCAGATTGGGTTGAGATGAGTTGTGTAGGATAAAGAGTCTATTGCAGTTTGTAAATTATTGCAACAACAAAGAAGTGCAGAGTTAATCCCCTTAAAAGCTGACTGCAATCCATTTTAACAAACATTTAAAAAAAAAATTCTTTATAATGCCCTGTTTGGCATTAGTAATTACATGCACAAAAAGAAAAAAGCTGTGTAAACCAATAGATAGAATAGGAACACACGGTGGTACCAGATCCACCAAATGGGCGTGAACCCAACACAATAAATTTAAATCGAAAGTGAATGTATCCTTATAGAAAAAGGGACTCAGTGCTGGTTTTTAATAAAAAGAAGGGGAGAGTGAAAAAGAAAATGCAACATGTAACAACTAACTTAGAGCTAAGGTAAGTGGGGAAAGGATTATAGAATCCTCAGCGATATGTATCCATAGTATCTAAAAAGTCAATACTTATTAAAAAAGCTTTTTTAAAATTCACCTTTTTTCATCTTTCATTGCGCCTGTCTCGCTGCGATGGGCTCCGCCTCCATGGCCGGACTAGGAAGCCTTCATGATGGATTGCCACTAGAGGTGTTCCGAGGCAGCTATGTAAACACTGCCTTTTCTGTGAAAAGGCAGCGTGCAGTGCGTTTACAGTGCTCAGCCTGCAGAGACAGGCTATAGACACCAGAACCATGACATTAAGCGGTTTATGGTGACTATAGAGTCCCTTTAAGGCTTAAACTTTCCTGAAATCCATTGACAGACAAAGCTCGTCCGACATCACTACTTCCCTCGCAAGGTCCCATCAAATGCGTCGTAGAGAAGCATTTGATTGGTCCAAAATCACTGGCTCAGAGCAAGTGCGACCGGTGGGGGAGGGAGGGAGGAAGGGGAGAGAGGTACAAGAGCAGATATATTAAAAAAACTAAACGGTTAAAAAAACCAAAAAAACTGATGCGCATTGGGAAAACCAGAAAGGCAGGAGTGGAGGAATAAGAGAGTGAAGGCACTGAAGCTTCCCCTTGGAGTCGCGCTACCATCGCTTCATGCAAGGGTAGAATGAAATTTCACAGCGCAGAGTGTGCGCTGACAACAGATGACATGTTTGCATGGAACTGACATTAGGCAGCCTAGAACAGAGTCTAACAAATTGGACAAGACTTAATAGTTGTTTTTTTTTATTTCTAATAATAATGTATTGTTATTGTATAGAAAATAAGTTAACACAATAATATACTTAACCCAAAATCCTACATTTTCAAACAGACAAAGAACGATACTATAATTTTAGAGGTGTGAGTGGGGGTGTGGCCAGGGTTTGGACTGTTAAGGAAAATTTGCGATGACTTACTAATAATTCATGCAACTAAACTGTAATTTAGAACTGTAACAATGTATATTATTTACACAGGCTAATTTCTAAACACATTTGTTGTGGTTTAAAGACCTATACTGGGAGTATTATAATTGCTGTTATACACTCAGACACACCACCAATATGGAAGGACATTAGGAGAGAAAAGAGGGACAGAGGGATTTAGACCAAAATAGGGACGATCCCTACTTAATACGGACACTTGGGAGGTATGCGTTCCAAATATTTTTACACCCATACCACGTTTAAAATAAATACATTCTCTTATCAAGTGGAGAATTTATTTTAAGAGACAAGGGATTTTTATAAACGGTGTGTATCATACTATAACACTAGATGGCAGCACTTACTTTTTGGGCAGCATTTGCACTTCTTACAGCTGCAGGAATTTGCACAGGAGCAGGGGACCCCTAAGAAATGATAGAACAATATGTTATATGCTGTATCCTAAGAAAGGAGAGAAGAGTAAGTGATATATGACGGGCATCGGATAACAACACATAATGGAGGTGGGTTATGAAGGGAGCTGTTGGTATAGCTGAGGCAGTGCTAATTGCCTAATATTATCTGGTGGACTCTATAACAGGCCATGGTTCTCCTCAATGATTAATAAACATTCATATCGTACCTTCCTTGACATTAGAGGAGGAGGCATCATACAAGCTGGCCTCATGGATGAAGGAAGTAAATTGTTTCGATCACTGAGCTTTATTGCTGTGCTGGGTCTCAGGGTTTATAGAGCGTCATATCATGACACCTTCCACCTGGAGACCCTGAACGTGTCGGAAAGGAGTGCCCTAGAGCAGTGTTTCCTATCCTGGCGTTCTAGATTAGTGGTTCCCAGCCCAGTCCTTGGGGCACACCAACAGTCCAGAATGTATGGATTTCCCAATTCTATTCCATGGGGATTCTAGACCAATAGAGTAATTAGACCATTGGTGAGGAAGTGCCACCAGGATTGTTCAACATTTACAGAGAAAGATTTGAGAAAATATAGTTCACTTAATCAGCAGCTTCAACCCATTTTCTACCTTCCTCTCTCAGGGTTATTAGATGTGGGAATTATATGGGATTCAAAGCAGACTCAATGTGGAATTCAAATTCTAGGCCAATATAGCCAAACAGAAAACTTTGCGAGCTTGAGAAGACTTTTTCCAGTTCCCCTACTTTGGCTTAAAATTTGAAATTCATTTTGAATTCATGACTATTCCCTAACTTCCCCATCTTGGTATATAAATGCTATTTAAAGTCCATATGTCACATATTAATGGGACACTCTAGGCAACATAATTAATTTAATTGACGTGGCTTTGGTACTTGGAGTTCCCTGGCACTGTCCCACGGTTCAGATGTCAATTAATGACTCCACCCTCCTTTTGGTACCTAGTGTCCCTTTAAGGAATGTTTATTTACCATCAGTCTGTCTAAGGGGAGGACAATGATGCTCTTCATGTTCTATCAAGAAAGCTCTCAGGAAAGGGGGTGGAGTATAACATATTAAGTCTTATGCCCACCTACATGGCCACTCCTTTCACATCGATCATAGTCCAATTACAGATTGGGCAGATGGACATGCAGAGTTTCATCCTCTCTCGCGGTCCTGCTTGGCCACTCTATTGTATTGGTAACCAGAGATAGGGGTTTAAGAGACACATAAGTAGGAAAGGTGAGTTAGGAGGTAATTAGGATTTGAAAAATACAGAGAGAGAGTCAGAAATGGGGAGGGGCGTGGTTCAACACTTAAAGCTTACAGTTTAGGGGTTGAGTGTGCCAGTTGACCATTCCACCAAAGCTACCACATAACCTAGATATGCCTCTTTCATCTGTATTTTCATCTGTCACATTCTCAAACTTCAAGCCAAAATGTACCCAAAATATGAACCAACCAAGAAACGCAATGGACGACCATGTTCATTTTGATTTGTGATTCTGAATTTGGCCCTTAATGCCAAAAAAGAGAGAATTGATGGGAGGACAAAATGATGATAGGGCACAGTCACTAAATGGTGAGAAAATGCAGTGTACTGCAAAATATATACACTATATAACAATTTCATGCCCTTTTGGTAGGTCTGATTTAGCTCCTGAATCAGTTTTCGATACCGAAATTCTGCCGAGCCAAACTAACATATGGTTGAAATTTATGTGTCCTGAAAATGTTTGTATTTTATGGATAAATGGTTCCCTCCAAGCCAAATGTTCTCATTGTGCAGAAGTTTAATGTAGACTTTAGATCAATTGTCCAAAAATTACTATTAAAATAGCAATATTTAAATTTACTTAAGCAGAATAGGTACTTATTTTTTGCTAATTCTCAAGTACTTTTTAGGTAATGCTATTCAGATTTTCTTGATTAATTCATGGTATACAGATTATCGAGGTATGTTCTCGCTATATACAAATAGTTTTTATATCATACCTGTTGCGCAGTTACAGTCCTGGGGGTCCATGCTTGTTGCTATAGTAACAGAATCTCAGTGATGCTCTCTGGATGATCTGTGAAGCTGTATGAAAGACAAAGCTGGGCTGATCCTATATATACCAGAGCTGGGACTGAGTGCAAAACACAGACAAGTGCACAAACACACCCCCTGTACCATGTGACACACACACAGCCACGTGTGTAAAATTCAATAACAAATATTACAAACTGGTTTTAGAGAAAAAGGGCAGAGTCACACGGAATGAGTCTACAATCTTCACTAAGTCCCATTTGAGATAGGAGACTATTGTGTTATAGTGAAAGAAAGTCCAATCCGTTTGGTGCATTTGTGTACAAAAGTAGCTAAAGTAATTAATAGTTAAATCAAGGACACACAATACTAATAAAACCAGGCAAGATTATTGGCTGCATTAATAGTATGTGTGTCCCTCTGGGTGATTGTTGTGTGTCTTTTTGTGATGTGATTGATTGGGGCGGACACATGGGGTGTGTGGGATTTTGTGTGTGATCCGGTTTTCAGACAGGGATTGAGTGAACAAGGAGTGTGCCCTTGGCCACCATAATTCAGAACTGATTTGTATCTCCTTCTCCCACATATAGGTATTTTTCCCTAAATTTTGAGGGTTTTTTTGGTTCCTCAAACCCAATCGAAGATAAACACCATGAAAATTGACTACTTATCAGTACAGTAAACGTTGTTTTTTGTGCCTAATTTTTAAAGTTTGTTTTTATTATTTAAAAATACATTTTTGTTGGGTGAATAAAACTTTGTAATTTTTTTTTTTTTTTTATGAATAATTGATGTTCATTTTTCTAAGGTAAAAAAGGCATGTGTGTGTGGGACTGGGGTGAATACTGGTGTGCAGTATTTAGTTGTTGGGACAGGGATAATGTGTGTGAATTGGGATGGAGAATATTGGTGTATGATTTGAATGCTAGGATGGTGTGTCTGGGGTGCAGAGATGTGCTGTTTGTGAGATTGGGATAAAGTAAAGGCCACCTGAAAAAAACAAATGGAGAACTTACTACTAGCCAGGCATTAAAACTTGCTCGCCACTGCAAACTTGGAGAGTCCGTGTGTCCACTCATCACGGGTGAATTTCCACTCGGTAGTGCTAAATATTGACTCACAGTAAGAACAATAAGGATGTGGAATTATCTGCCTTAAGAAGTGGTGACTGGATGAATACTTACAGAAACATAATGTTCAGCGATATCCTTTTTTATGTTTGGTGTTAACAGCTTCTTGATCCAAGAGATCTGCCTGCCATTCTGGGTCGAGGGAGAATATTTTTTTTTTCTAGTTTGTTGCAAAATTCCAAAGTGCTTCACACTGCGTTTTTGCTTTCTTTTGGATCTACAGCAAAAACTGTTGTAAGAAAGGATGCGCTTAATGGACACGTCTTTTTTTCAGTCTATATAATTAGGTAACTATGTAACTCATCAACGGTAAGTAGAAATTTTGAGTCCTAATTAATGTGTGTATGTATAGTCTTTATTTCTATAGAGTACCTATTTTAGTTACTTTAGTTGGTTTATAAAAAGATAGTGTCACTTGAAATGACACTTTAAATTGTACAATGTAGGGTCAGTAATAAAGGCTGGGGAAACCATGTAACTCTGACATTTGTGTTCACAAAATATATCCCATGTATTTAATATATATGATACACTATTAAATGTTATATTTGTTTTTGCCCTATATGTTCATGAAAATGATTTTGGTTTGATACAGTTTTCAATACATCATATTTAGTTATTTAGCGCAATTTCAACATCACTTCTTTTCCTTATGCCACGATCTTCTCATACTTAGCACTTCATTGGTCTCTCATTGCCACATTATTCACCACCTTTGCCCCCATTCAAGTAAATGTCACACGTGCCATATAACCCCCACATTGCCTCTTAGAATGGAATAAACGTGCAATAATTGAATAAGACATTTAGGGGCCAGACTGTGATGATCGCAGAAAATATCTTTGGTCATTAGGGAATTTTAAGGTTACTTTAAATTTTCAGCCCGACACAAGTGTTTTATTTTTATGTTTTTGTGTAAGCTTTTTTTATTTACATTGATAAAGGGCCATAAGATTTCAATTGACCCATAAATAACTGTTTTACTATAATCCAGTCTTGGTTATTCAGGTGTAGAATGTCCCGTCCATCCATTCAGCTGTCTAAGTTAGAGGAATACCCAGCCCAGGTCAGTGTTTCACTCAGCTCAGTTGGTGGTTTTTCTGTGAGCACGGCCCATTCAGGAAGATGAGTCACTAGAAGACGTCTGGCTGCATTGTGACATCTCTAAGGGACGTGTGCAAAAGATTCAGCTCTGTCACTGCACTCGCTCTTGGCTCATTCACATAGCTCACTCAGTCAGCACCAATTCTAAGAGTCAGTTCTGATTCTTTAATTCTGCCTCCGGTACTCACATTTCTTAAACCTTATAACGTAGTGAAAGCATGCATTAGAATAAAATTTATAATCCTCACTTGCTCCACTTGTGTGAGGCCCAAGGATTCAGACATGGCCCCTAGAACAATGAATTTGTTTGCCCCTATTCAATACCCCTGTATATAAAACTAATAAACTGCCTAAGTTTCGTAAAAAAAATCAAACACCCAAATTTCTTCAACTCTGAGTGTCCAGTGCGGAACACACAGTGAGCACCACTTTCTGCTTCCAGAACTTAGGAGTAAGGAGATGTGGCAGCAGTGTTAAACATCAAAGAGTTGTAATCCTAAAAAGTATGTAAATTTAGGCTAAAATAAAAGTGCTAATTTGTAAAAATTCTTCTATTGGATTTTCTGCAGTTTGATGTTTAGTGAGTAAACACCTATACTCTTTCACTATTACACACAAAGACATACAGTACCTCTCTTTTACACACATGCACAAAAATGCCCGCTATCTCCATTGAATACACATAGTTTCTTTTACACACATTGCATCAGTGTACACAAACAAACTCTCTCCAGTACACTTGCATACATACAGATCCAAACAGATGATGCACAAAGTCTTTCTAGGTTGGAAGCACACAGACACATGCGTACTCTCTACACTAAATGCATTCAGACACATGTACTCTACTTTACATGCATGCAGTCACAGGTACTCTCTACATTACATGCACATAGACAAATGTACTCTCTACACTAAATGCACACAGACACATGTACTCTCTACACTACATGCACACAGACACATGTACTCTCTACACTACATGCACACAGACACATGTACTCTCTACACTTAATGCACACAGACGCATGTACTCTCTACACTACGTGCACAGACACAGGCACTGTACTTTACACATGTGCACAAAATGCACTTTTTATTTTCCTGCTTATTACATATTGTAACAGAACTCCCCGTACTCCGACCGAGTACCTTCCGTTGATGGACGCTTCCTAGCCTGTGCCGAGGACCACAAGCACCACAACCACCACATACTCCACAACCGCCGTAGCTTAACTGGAGTCTTGCCGTCTTCTGTCCACCCCGGATTGGCTTCTGTCCTCCAGGACCGTGTGGGGAAGACCTCCCCTCCAGGAGAGCGTATGGAACAGCTCTTAAAAGAGCTAAGTGATTAATGCTCAAGGGAGTATGACAAGCATAGCAATCCATTGTAGCAAATTCCCCCAATAAGAGACAGGACTCCAAATTGAGGGTGAAGTAGAACTGTCTAAAACTTTATTTTCCTTGGGACTAGCCCATATGGTCATTACATTAACATTGCTGTGAAAACTCAATAAAATTACAAACAGTCAAATCATAGCAGGCAACATACAGTGACTTATTATAACACAATGGCATATGTTTAAAGAGGTGGGGGAGACAATAATTAACAGAAAATATCTCACATGCCTGCAGAATTAGCAGTATGCAAATCTACCTGAATATGCAAATGAACCAGTCTTGCTATTCAGGTAGTGCATATTGCTGTTGCTACCAACAGAGGGCACTAGACAAGCTCCATAGCCAAATCCACCTAGTTGGTAGCAAACCTCAGGCAATACAACCCAGGGGCCATAGTCACATGGCAGGAGGCTGTCTTCTCCAATGCCCAGTGGCGAGGCTGGTTCCGCCACACATATGTACAATGATGCTGTCTTACTCTGTTATATACCAGCATAAATATGCACTCGCTCATGCTCTCTCAGTATTACACACATGAACACAGAGGCACAGTTTCTCCATTACATACACGGGCACATGCTCTCTCTCCATTACATGCACACAGATACTAATTCTCTCTTTGTGACATATACACCTCTCTCTGCTTTGTACACTTGCACACAGGCACATTCACTTATACATACACATGCCATCTTACACAAATACATAATCTTCCCTCCCAAGTGTCCCTATTAAAGATCAAATCCCACTGTACCTCTGTTCTAGGAAGGGGCAGATCCAGAACCCAATCTCGGGAGGGGCACTGAATGTTTAAAATTGGTGTGTGTGTGTGTGTGTATGTATGTATATACACTGAGAGACCATTCCCGTATAGACGCAAAAAAAACAATAAGAAAACCAAGACTGTATACAGTCGATCAAACTTCAGGCAATTCATCTTCAGAATCTGAACACATCATCGTACAACCACGAGAGCACCAGAAAGAGAGCCTTTTTTAGAATCAGACCCAGGATCATCCACCAGGATCCATACAAGACTAACAATTTGGACTCTGAAATATATTTTGGGGGTATAATATTTGATAAAGTCCTAACCTCAACATATGAGGAAAGGGATTTAGGGGTGATTATTTCTGATGACTTAAAGGTAGGCAGACAATGTAATAGAGCAGCAGGAAATGCTAGCAGAATGCTTGGTTGTATAGGGAGAGGTATTAGCAGTAGAAAGAGGGAAGTGCTCATGCCATTGTACAGAACACTGGTGAGACCTCACTTGGAGTATTGTACACAGTACTGGAGACCGTATCTTCAGAAGGATATTGATACCTTAGAGAGGGTTCAGAGAAGGGCTACTAAACTGGTTCATGGATTGCGGGATAAAACTTACCAGGAAAGGTTAAAGGATCTTAACATGTGTAGCTTGGAGGAAAGACGAGACAGGGGGGATATGATAGAAACATTTAAATATATAAAGGGAATCAACACAGTAAAGGAGGAGACTATATTTAAAAGAAGAAAAACTACCACAACAAGAGGACATAGTCTTAAATTAGAGGGACAAAGGTTTAAAAATAACATCAGGAAGTATTACTTTACTGAGAGGGTAGTGGATGCATGGAATAGCCTTCCAGCTGAAGTGGTAGAGGTTAACACAGTAAAGGAGTTTAAGCATGCGTGGGATAGGCATAAGTCTATCCTAACTATAAGATAAGGCTAGGGACTAATGAAAGTATTTAGAAAATTGGGCAGACTAGATGGGCCGAATGGTTCTTATCTGCCGTCACATTCTATGTTTCTATGGTATAACTATTTTTTTCACATTTTTCTCAATATAAAGCTCTGGATAATATCCCCATCTATTATCATAGAATTTGGGGATTTTCACTGATTTCTTTTTGGAATCTGTAAGTATTATGAGAACATGTTTAATAACATAATTCAAGAATGTATTCCCATATGCCAAGTGAAATATGAATTTATTATGCTCACAACAGTATATATGCATGCATACTCTTTATACCAGTGATAATTGTAACAGAACTATAATCTCTGCCTGGACATATTTAACAAGACATAAGCCTGGGAATTCAAAAGAACATACTTGCCTGTGTATGTGGATTGTTATAGCACTAAAAACGACTGCAAACTGCCGAACACCGGACCACACTGCTGTGTAGTTAAGTGGTATTTTACCTCCCAGACCGGCATATACCGTTCGCATGATAACTGCACGAATCCTTTGTGTAAAATCTAGGTGGCCGCCATTTCAGGACTTTGCGCGTGTTCGCGGCCATCTTACGCACGAACAGCAGTGATCTGCCATCGAGTGTCTGGAACTAAAAACGGACACTCGAGTAGGCGAACACCGCTGAGACCTCCATAACAACGTAATTTCGTGCTGAAACTACTGAACGGTCGGCCGTTCGGTAGAAAGGATATATTATGTATGGGGATTCCAGCGAACACCAAGTTATATGCGGATGGCAGGATTTTTGTGCTTTTTCAGCGCACGAACCCTTCAAAACGTAGCCTCGTCTCGTTCTTCAAAGGGGATTTACTACACCATTGCTATGCTCCGTTTTCCAGCTATGCCTGCTTCTACCCTTGGATCTCGTGGATGGGAATAAGAACAACTCCATTATTATACAGCATCTTGCCAGGGAAAGGAGGTCTCCAACGGCGGATACCCCCTCACCATCTGGGTAGCCGTTACAATAATATTAGTGAAACTGTTTCTCATTAAGTTTACACATTGTTACACTATATCAAACTTTATAACACTAACTATCTTCCATCTACGTCCCTTCATCATGTTGTGTAGAAATGCTTTCCCCTTAGGTCTTATGTTTTGGCTGTTTTGATCTTTATTAATATATTTTTTCAACATTGTTTTTAAATTTTCTCATCCGACTTCATGTGTGAGAGTCCTTCACTCTGTTGTGCTTTCTAGACGAAGGCTATTTCACTATATTATTTGCTCCTTTGCGAATCAGTCTTTCTCTTTTTGGGTTGAACTCCAATGGTGGAGTATGTATATAGGTTGTGTGTTTTTCCCAATTCTATGGGGTGGTTGGCTAGCCCTAGTATATAGAAAGTAGCCAAATTGCAAAATATATACTAGTGTTTAATTATACACATATATGGCCATCAAGAACAGCCTCTTAAACTACAGACCTCACATTAAAGATCATTTCTGTCTATAATACACTCCCCATAATGAGCAATTACCAGAATCTCCCTTTAATTTACAAGGTTGGGAGATGTGACCTGGCTAAGTGTCAATTTTTTATTTTTTTATAGTGATGTCTCCTTCACAGCACGCTAGTGCACTGATGAATCTCTTTAACAAATTAGCCTTATGTGCAGCACCTAAGTTAGCAGAGTGTGATGAGAGTAGCCACACTCTGCCATAATGCATGCCGTATCAGGATGCTAATACAGCAGTACGGGAGTGCACGGATCTGTGGTACTAATTCACACTAAGTAAAGCCTCATGTGGGGTAGGATTGTAATATGTACAGTGATAATAGGCTGGGAGCTGTCATTTGGCAGAATGTGATGTGAGAACCGGTGCTCTGTCAATCCTTATCTCAATATATGATCTTGACAGTGCGGTAGTGCACTGTTCTAATATGTAGTAGCGTATAGTGTAACAGGTTTTTCCGTTTTATTCTACAGAAGCAGATAGCCTAGGTACGGGGGCAATGCAGCAGTATTTGATATATAATCGGTTTAAACGATATATAACTGTATGTGAAGCATATCTGCATCAATGGAATTGCTTCACGATCAGCATACACAGCCCGATCAGCCCTAAGTTTGCCGTCCAGTCAACCTAGCAACCTGCTGACAGCTTGCGCTCCACAGGTCTCTCAGCAACACAGTGGAACACAGGTGCCTAGCAACTTCGGTCAGAATCTCTGATCGGTATTCACATGTGCACCCTGAACACTGACCACAGCTCTCATACTGAAAGGCACTAACCTGCTTTACTTCATCCTGAACTACATCTTACCGAAAGACTTTCCTTACCAGCTTCCAAGAATCCTGATTTGTGGCGTATTGCCTTCATTGAAGAATCTTAACTGCTTCAATTGCTGCATCACTGCATGATCTCGTAAGCAACCTGCATTATATTAGTTTGCAATATTCCTACCGGTTTCAACCTCTGCAACTCTGCATGATCCTGTATTGTCTTATCCTAAAAGGTATTTAGCTATAACTAGCTGCATTGCAAAGTATCCTGGAAATCCTTAACTACTTGCTATAGCTTCAAGCCTGCTTGTATACAAAAGACTTTATTCATTTACTTTCCAAAGATCTTGTTTGTGGCATGTCGCCTAAACCCTGTTTTTCTCACAAAGTATCCTGTTTGTGGCAGACTGCCCTTTATTTCAGTAAATTTGTTATGTCTAATACGACAAATAAAGTTTTAACCAATAACCCCTGCAATCGTCTCCTCTCTGACCTGATCAGGAGCATGACATATATATTCTCAATAGGTGAGTACACCCCTTTGCAAATATTTATTCTGTCTTTTCATGTTACAACACTGAAGAAATGACACTTTGCTGCAATGTAAAGTAGTAAGTGTGCAGCCTGTATAATGGCGTCAATTTGTCTTCAACGGTGCTATAGCCGCAGCTTGGATAGTTTAGCATTAATTTTGCAATTCTGCTTTCAATTTACTAGAAATCAGAATTTAGTAAGGACCCTGTGTGTGTGTTGGCATTTCTGCAGGACTCATTAATATAATACTTACTGTATATGAACATAAGAGTTCTACAGTAGTAAGTCTCATATCACATCGTCATTTACCTACTATCCTGCATTCCTCTGTAACTCTTTCCATATTGTCCCATTCTACAGTGGTGTCCCTTTTTCCATACTCACCTAGTGTCCTTCTCTCTAGAAAAAATTTGGGGGGCAATTGCCCCTTTGCGCACGCTCCCCCCCCCCTTTTCTGGATCCACCACTGGTTCTAGGAGCTCCTTATTGTTGGTGTATCTGAGTGTATATCAGAGCTCCACAGCAACAATACTCATAAATGTGTTTAGAAATCAGCCTGTGTAGGCAGGGTTAAGGGAACAGGAACACTGCACCCTAACACTTCAATGACATGAAATGGCCTGGATGCCTGGAAAGATCAGAGAGAATTGTCGGTTTTCAAACACTGTCTGACTCAAGGTGCATGTCTATGGCTAAAGGATCCTGATATAAATGAAAGGTAGGGATGGGTTTTCCCCGTGACATATAGTTCATTAAAAATTTTTTTTTTTTTTATATAAAATATATAATTTTTATTTATTTTTAAACTTGATGGAAGGATTATTATACAAAAAAATAGTTTTAAGATGACAATTGTGCTTTAAGGAACCACTGATCTGAACGCCGACGCAAACGGTCGCATGTGCATGTAGCTTCGATGCAGAAGAAGAATACAAACCTGCTCCTGCCCCAACACAGATGGCAAAGCACAGCAAGAAGGGAGCAGACTCTGAGCAGGTCACCACGGCGATCCTAAAAACGCTATTGGCAGACCTGCAAAGAAACATCCTTGCAGATGTCACGGCACTACGAAACGACTTACAGGGCCTGACAGGCACCATCGGCACACTGGAGGGATCCACACAAGCAAACGCCCAGAGCATTACCACGCTACAGCAGGCAGTGCACGACCTACAACTGCGGGCCCAGCAGCATGAACGCCGCTTCGCAGCCCAAGAGGACTCCAAAGACTTCCTTTGAAAATTAAAGGAACACTATATAGTATTTTTATCCCATACAATATAGTGTCTCTCTTCCCCTTTAGGCCCTCCCTCTGTCTCTTCCCAACCATGTAAAGGGTAAAAAACCCTTTAAACATTTACCTGTTCATCGCCAATGTCCCTCTGCACTGGATCGGGTTGCTCCTTCACTGAAGTCAGAGCAATCCAGGATCCTAATGCGCATGCGTTGAGTGTCCATGCGCAATATCCCTTTCCAATAGGAAAGCATTGACTCAGTGCTTACCTATGGAGTTTTGTCCTACAAAGCATAAGGACGTCCAGTGTCGTTTCACGCAGTCAAACTCTGTGAAACAGAAGGAAGCACCACTAGTGGCTGTCTGGTAGACAGCCACTAGAGGGAGTCCTATCCCTTTAGCCCTTTAATGTAAACAATGCCGTTCCTCTAAAACTTTCAGGGTTTTGGGGACTGGGACACTGCATCTAGACCTCTTAAATATGATTAAGTGGTCTGGCTGCCTATTGTGTCACTTTAATTGCAAAGTATGCATTTCAGAAATGTGTTGACTATCCTATTATAAACAGATTTAAACCTTCCCTATTTCCACTTTCATTGAATATTTCTATATTCCTATATTGAACTTGTTAAATTATAGCATAACTCTAACTCCTATTTATGATTCTAAAACTAGTCGACAAGATTCGCTAAGGTTCTGTTGATTAGGAAACTCACCAGTACTGATAAAAAGAGTATATAACTAAACCTGAAGTGTTGGAAATTGGTTATGGACTATTCTGAAAACCAATGCCATGTCTAAAAATATATTCAGTAGCTCAGACTCTTATTCCGTTAAACATCTCAGGCTATTGTGAAGCAGCATGGCCATCTTTTTGGATGTAGTGAATTTCAAAAGTTGTCAGGCAGAAAATACAAAAGTGCTTGGACCAGTGTTCTGAACTGTAAACCCTGAAGACGACCACAATATATTATCCTTTGAATTAGAAACTCATAATACCTTTACAAGTTTTACATGCAAATATCTTTATGAAGATGATTAGTCCTGTGAAGAACAAATAGTCAGAATTTGAAACCTTAACGCAGTGGTTCTTAACATTAGTTGTGTTAATAACCAAAACTAAGCTCATGTCATTAACCATGCTTCAAATATAAAATTAGCTGTAATAAAAGATATAAATATAAAACAAATTATATAAAATAAAAATGTTGAATTCGTCTCCAGAGCCTTTCCGTCACACAGTGTGAGGCAGTGATGCCATTGTAAATCAGTTGAGGATGCATTAATAACCTGGGGACCAATTTTAGTCCCAACTCGGGGTTTAAGAACCAGTGCCTTGAGATTTACATCTACCGCATTTTTCCCATAAGTACATGAAATGTGGAACAATATTTAGTGTGCATAGATGAAAGTGCATTAGTTTTTAGGTTTTTTTAGATTTAGTGTGCATAGATGAAGGTGCACTTGTCACTTTGTAACAAATATTTTGTATCCATACTTGGAGCATAAGTACATTTTTAATTAGTCTGTAGATGGCTGGGTCCATGTTGCTTTCCATGGGTGTTTTTCTTTGATGGTTTTAAGAGTATATTTTTTCAAGCGGGGACAGTGTTTTAGGAAAGCTTGAATCACTTGAGTTCCCACTAAACAGTAGCAATGAACTTCTTCCAATACACCGCATTTTGTAGCCAAATCAATAAGAGCAGAGTCTAGATCACTGGATGAGATGGTGCGTATAACTAGCTTATTTAGAGTGCGCCAGTAGTGACTGGTGACAAATCTAATGTGATTCATCATTTCATTGCAGGCATTAAATTGTAAGGTTGACACAGGAATATTTGGTTGTAAGGTTCGACGGATTTTCCAAGCAGGGATAGTGTGATCAAATTCTAGGTCCACATGAAGTGTGGGATGACGTATACAAAGCTCACCCCATGCGTCATCAGATATGGAATGTGTATATTTGTCCAGCCTTTTACACAAGATGTCCAGGCACATAAGTGGTGGTCTGCATGGTTTCATAAGTTCACGGAAAACATCTTCAGACAGACTGGAACAGAAGGTGCCAAGGACAGTGAGTTTGGGGCAGAACTCTAAAACTGCATTCAAAGTTTCAGGGGTTATTTTGCAAACCAAAGTACCATTGTTTATGTGCAAACTACGTAGATTTGGGTTCCCTCTAGCAATAAGTCTTACAAAGCCATCACTAAAAGTAAAAGGAAGCTTTCGTAGATCAATGTTTTGGAGGTCACCATGACTCTCCTTACGACAAAGGTTCATGATGCTTTCCAAAATCTCCTGCCCAGAATAAAACAAGGGGTTTTCTCCAGAGCACACAATAGTCAGGCTTTTCAGTTTGTTTTTCTCTTTGGCAAGACAATCTAGAATTTTTGATACACTATTGCGATTTGCTTCTTTGGATTGGTCAAAAACTATTTTTAGTTGTTTTATCTGGACCAGAAAGTGCTCCAATCCGTCGAGTGTTAGTAAATCTTCTTCTGATCCGAAACTATAACCAAAAAGAAAGGGACAGGCGCTCTATTAGTTTTTCCATTCGTTGTACCCTTATAAATTTAGTTTACTTTATTACTTATGTATTTAATTACTTTCATTCTTAAAGGACCACTCTAGGCACCCAGACCACTTCAGCTTAATGAAGTGGTCTGGGTGCCAGGTCCAGCTAGGGTTAACCCATTTTTTAATAAACATAGCAGTTTCAGAGAAACTGCTATGTCTATTAATGGGTTAAGCCTTCCCCCAAAGCCTCTAGTGGCTGTCTCATTGACAGCCTCTAGAGGCGCTTGCGTGCTTCTCACTGTGATTCTCACAGTGAGAGCACGCAAGCGTCCATAGGAAAGCATTGTAAATGCTTTCCTATGCGACCGGCTGAATGCGTGCGCATTCAGCCGACGGGGCGGAGAAGAGGAGGATCGGAGGAGGAGAGCTCTCCGCCCAGCGCTGGAAAAAGGTAAGTTTAAACCCCTTTCCCCTTTCCAGAGCCGGGCGGGAGTGGGACCCACGAGTATGTTTTCCTGGCACTATAGTGGTCCTTTAATGAGTGATTTTGTTAAAGAACAATTATCCAGCTGGTACATAAAGTAAAATTATGATAAATTGTTTGCAGATAACACAAAACTAGAAAAGACAATGCAGTTGGAACTTGATCTAACTTCTCTACAGAGGGTTTTGGATAAATTGACAGACTAGAAAGGAAAGTGGCAGATGAGATTCAATACAGATAAATTCAGAATCATATATTTTGCAAAAAAGAACCCACAAGTTACTCATACATTACCCCAGAAGGACAGAGGCAATAGTGACCAAAACAAAACCTAGCATTTGAGCTATATGTCTGTTAAACACCAATTTACCTTTCATATTAAGTGCACCCACACTTGTATATAATTATGTGTAGGAGAAATAGGGCTTTCATTTCATAACACATATTTATATATGGAACACAATTTAATATAACTAAAATATTTAGAGTGCGAGAAATTAAGACATTTTTGCTATTTACCAAGTTCTGCATGGCAATTTAACTGTGGATGTCATAATAGTGTTAGCTTTTAATGCAATAAAACACACATATTTGTATGCTATGATGCCCCGCATGATTGTACTCTCTTATGTTGTTTTGGAAAGTTATTGGGTCAAATTACTCCCATCATGGCATACCATTTGCAAAAGTAGACAACACAGGGTATTCAAAATTTTTAGTAGCTACTTAGTCACAGACACTGGGCAAAGTTAGTTTTTTTTATTTATTTTTTTTATATTTATTTATTTGCATTTTTCACACAAAAACTTGCCTTTCACTGATGATTTAATCATCACTATACATTTCATTATTTTTTTTTTTATTCTTTATTTTTTATTGTGCCGAGATCAAAAATACAGGCTTGTCTAGCCAAAACAGCATCCACAAGCTTAGTTACAATTATTTTTGGTGATACCTTGGCGTACAATTGACCTCAGACCCAGCCAGACTAAAACCAGGAAACTACGGCAACATAATCCGTACCCTAAAGACTGATGTGGAGAGATGGACAGCCAAGCCCATCGCATGGATAGGGAGGATACACGCGGCAAAAATGAACGTCCTGCCGCGCATCCTATTCTACTTTCAGGTGCTACCGGTATTACTGATAAGACGGGACCTAGCAGGATTACAAATAGCTATAAACTACTTCATTTGGGGGGGGGGTGGGGAGAAAGACACTGCATATCCAGACAAATACTGTATCGCCCACGATCACTGGGAGGCCTGGGACTGCCCAACCTCTATATGTACTATGTGGCAGCCCAGCTGGCCCAGATTGCCCTGTGGCACTCGCCCCCTGACGAGAGAAAGTGGGTTGATCTAGAGTCGGGACTAATGGGAGCGGATCTCCCGCAGTTCTACATATGGACAGATAAACAACACAGGGCTCTTCCTGGAACTGACTGCCCAGCCATACTGAAGTCTATCAGCTTATGGGACAGAGCTAAGAAAAAGCTTGCCCTAACTTCGGACCCATCCCCTATGACCTCCTAGCTGAGAAATAGGGCCTTCCCACCTGGCATGCAAGCGAGGGACTTCGCTGGCCTAGAAAAAGCTGGCCTGCAGAGGTTCAAACACTTATACGTAAACCACTCGTTTGTTTCCTTTGACGAACTCTCACCACACCACCCCTTAGCGCCAAGGGACTTTTTCCGATACCTGCAATTGCGAGACTTTGCGACACGAAGCAATGTAAGAGTGGCGGCAGAGCAAACCCCAACATTCTTTGAAAGGTTCTGCGACCAGGAACCGGGAAGCAAAGGCCTCATAACCACCATATACAACAAGATTAGTTCCCAATCTGCAGAATGAGGCAATTTGACCTACACGGACCGGTGGAAGGTGGACCTCAGGGAGGTGCAGGACATATGGGAAGCGGCCTCCAAAGTTTCCATCAGTGTTGGGCTCCAGGAGCAAGCGATCAAAAAAATGATGCACTGGTACACAACACCCACCACATTCTACCACATGGGCACGGGGGCTACCGATCTCTGCTGGCGGGGCTGCAGTGAGCGGGGCACCTACGTGCACATGTGGTGGACATGCACGAAAATACAAACACTCTGGCGAGGGGTGGGAGACCTGCTAACAGACCTACTAGAAACACCCATTGCAGTAGACCCGTGCTTTCGTCCTGGGCAGACCAATAGACGGCATGCCGCACAGGCACAAAAAGCTAATAAACAAGGTCGCCCTGGCAGCTAGGATGGCTATAGCCAAAAAATGGCTGGAGCCCAGGCCCCCGGACATATTGATAACTACCTCATGGACAAGCTCACCGCTCTAGTACACAACACCACTAAAACCTTCGAAAGGGTGTGGACACCATGGGAAGCCATGATGGGCTGAGTTCCCTGTAGGGTGGGGGGGCTTGACCGGTGGGTGGACGACTGGGACATGGGGACCAGGGGAGGCCCCCACTCCCCAACACACCAAAGACAATCCTACCACAAGGTTTCAAGCTCCTGAACCGAACTTTTAGTTTTTGTTAACGTTTTGTTCTTACACAAAAATAAAACACTCCTTGGCAGACGGTGATGAAGGAACCGCACGTGACACCCAAGCAATGTCATGGACTAGCAGTTAGCTAACCACTGTACAATTGTATAACTAGCTTTCTGGCTTCTGCACAAGCCAAAATGTGGATGATATTTCACTGTGTCTGCCAAGATGGAAAAAATTAAGAATTAAAAAAAAAAAAAACATAATCCCTGTATAAAAAAAAATAAAGAATCTATAAAATAAGAGTTCAAGCTGTGAAATTCATTTAAGTGAATGGACTAAGTGAACCTTCTTTACAGGGGAAAACTAAAACAAAGCAACAAAAACAGACGAACTCCAAGACAAGTAAACCCAGCACAGAATTAGTGAGAATAAATTCAAATAAATGACTTTGTATTGTTATTATTAGTATTGCCATTTATATAGCGCCAACAGATTCCGTAGCGCTTTACAATATTATGAAAGGGGGGATTTAGCTATAAATAGGACAGTTACAAGAAAACGTACAATTGAACGATAAGTTGAAGAGGACCCTGCTCTTGTGCAAAACACAATAGGACAGGGAATTGCAATCAAAATAAGGTGGGAGTGAAGCAGAACTGTAGAGTGCTGCCATTTACGAGAGAGCAAGAGACAGGTATGTGAGGTAGATGTTACTCTGGGAGGCCATAAGCTTTCCTAAAAAGATGGGTTTTAAGGCCCTTCTTAAACGATTGAAGACTAGGGGAGAGTTTGATGGCGGTAGGCAGGCTATTCAATAGTAAGGGAGCCACCCGCGAGAAGTCCTGCAAGCGTGAGTTGGCCATACGGGTGCGAGTAGTGGACAGGAGAAGGTCTCAGGCAGAGCAGTAAGGCTGAGAAGGGGCATACCTATGGATCAGTGAAGAGATATAAGAGGGGCTAGAATTGTTCAGTGCTTTATAGGTATGGGTTAGCATTTTGATTTGACTACTATAGGATACAGGAAGCCAATGTAAGGACTCACAAAGGGGTGAGGTGTGAGAGGACCAACTAGAGAGGAAAATCAGTCTGGTGGCAGCATTCATTACAGCCTGTAGCGGGTCAATACGTTTTTTGGGAAGTTCAATTAGGGGAGGGTTACAATAATCCATGCAGGAAATTACTAGAGCATGGACAAGCTCTTTGGTAGCATCTTGCGTAAGAAAGGGGTAGATGCGGGCTGTGTTTTTCAGATTGAATCTACAGGATTTGGTAACATGCTGGATGTGAGGCTCAAAGGTGAGGCCAGAGTCAAGTATGACACCAAGACAGCATGCTTGCAGGGATGGACTTATGTGGATACCACTAACTTGAAGGGAGAGCGAGAGAGGAGGATCAGTATTAGGAGGAGGAAAGACAAGGAGTTCAGTTTTAGAGAGATTACGTTTTAGAAAGCGCAAGGTCATCCAGTCAGAGATGGAAGAAAGGCAAGCAGTGACACGTTGCAGGACGGCAGGAGAGAGGTCTGGGGAGGAGAGATATAGCTGGGTGTCATCAGCGTACAGGTGGTAGTGGAATCCAAAAGAGGTAATAAGTTTGCCAAGAGAGGCAGTATAAAGAGAAAATAAAAGGGGACCAAGGACAGAGCCTTGGGGGACTCCAACAGAGACAGGATGAATGGAGGAGGTATAATTAGAAAAGGAGACACTGAATGAGCATTGGGAGAGATAGGAGGAAAATAAAGAGGACAGAGTCACAGAGACTGAGTGATTTGAAGAAGGAGAGCATCATCAACGGTGTCAAAGGAAGCAGAGAGGTCAAGAAGTATTTGTATGTAGTAGCGGCCTTTGGATTTAGCTGTGATTAGGTCATTAGTAACTTTGATAAAAACAGTCTCAGTAGAGTGGAGGGGGCGGAAGCCAGATTGAAGAGGGCCAAGGAGAGAGTTGGAATTGAGAAAGTGAGACATACGTAAAGACAAATCTTTCCAGAAGTTTTGAGGAAAAAGGGAGGAGGGATATGGAATAATAGTTAGAGGGGGTGGACGGGTCGAGGGATGATTTTCAGGAAAGGTACTACAGTTGCATGTTTTAATGTCAGCAGAGACAATGCCAGAAGAGAGAGAGCAGTTGAAGATGTGTGTTAAGGAAGGCACAAGACTAGGGGAGAGAGATGTGATAAGGTGAGATGGGACAGGATCAAGTGGGCAAGTGGTGGGGCAAGAGGAAAGGAGAAGCGCAGCCACCTCTTGTTCAGTAGCCAGGAAGAAAGTCTGAAGGGTAGGAAAGGCATGATCTATGTGTGGTTGAGAAAGAGAAGGGCAAGGTGGGGAGAATTATTTTCTTAGCTGTTCAATCTTGTTGGTAAAGTAGCATGCAAAGCTCTCGGCTGTAAGGTTAGTTTGAGGGGTAGCCACAGCAGGGCGAAGAAGAGAGTTAAAGGTGTCAAAGAGATGCCTGGGATTGCAGAGCATGAACTAATGAGAGGAAAAGTATGACTGTTTGGAGAGGGCAAGGGCTGCGCTGTATGAACACAATATGAATCTATAATGAAGAAAGTCTGACTGGATGCAAGGCTTCCTCCAGGAGCATCTTTGCAGGTAGCGTGTTGATTTAGTATGCCACAGTTGGGGGCGTGTCCTCCTCGAGGTGCATGTTTGGAGCGAGGCTGCAGCGTTCAAGACAGGTGAGGGTAGTGTTATATGTGGAGATGGCCAGTGACCAGGGAGTGGGACATCCAGTCCTTTCAGCTCATGGCTTGCTTTGAACTGCCCCAAGTTATAACTATTATAGTGTTGAGGAACATACATACATACCTAATCTCTGTGTAGTGCCAAACTGTGGGAGATGCCACTCCACATGCCCAGGACTGGCACACCTGGGATACTGTCCGTCTGTCTCCTAGAGGTAGGTAGTAAAAGATTTGTGCAAGGATTTCTTGAGGCATGTCCTCCCATTGTGTAGTCATTGTATCTTCTCCTTGGCAGCAAACTGACCCTGTATGAGCGGTTAGAACAGAATATTTAGAATCCAGAAATAGGTCACCTTTACAATCCGGAATAGAGCTGTCGTCATGCTTTTGGTAAGTAAAGTGTGGGAGGAGATACCGTACAGGCCGGTTTTATGGTTCAATCGACTTTGTACTTGTAAATGAAAGGTGTTGCTGCAATGTTGAACACCTGTTTATAGAATTATTACAATGGCTGCAGCTTCCTGCTTAACTGTTACTGGAGAAATAAATACAAACCTTTAGATTGTAAGCACCCCTGGGCAGGACTCCACCTCAATACTACTATGTCAAAAGTCAAACTTTTTTTATTTCAATTAATTGCATGTGGCTTATTCAACTATACTGCACTGTAGTCTATGTTGGAGATTTATAAATAACGATACATTTTTGATAGCCTTTTTATTTTTTTTTGTGCCCAATATGAGCATTGCTTAAAACATCTGTATTGTATCCTTCTTATCTAATTCACAAAAATGATTGCACCAGGGCCCCCTCTACTTTAGTTTTTGTTTCAACCCTGTGGAGCTCATCAATGCAAGACTATCAATGAGATTACTGTTTAGACCTGGTTTTAAAACCATAACATCAGAAATAAGGATTGTGATTTTGATAACTCACGCGTAGTACCGGCCATAAACAAACGTTATTGATCAGCTGCTGAACTGTAATGTGCAGTATAAAGACTAATTCTGGGGGGAAAGGGTTTTTTTTTGTTTGTTTGTTTTTTTTGTTTTTTTTTAAGTGAAGCCCTTGGAAAATACTATTGGTTTCAATAGTGACCACTCTTCTTTTAGAACTTTACCCAGTTCCCCCATTGTATTGCACTGTGTCTTGAACATAAACTGAGTAGATTTTTTTGGAACTAATGAAGACAAAAAAACCTTATGGTATCAGTTCTAGTATCCTGGTCATATCATATTAAACTGAAAGCCAAATAGAAAATTTGGGCTAAAATACCTAAGCTGTGACTACATCTGAGTTGGAAATTAGCTTTTTTTATTTTATTTATGTAGGCACCCAGACCACTTCAGCTCATTAAAGTGGTCTGGATGCAATGTGCAATATATCATGTCCCTTAACCCTGCAATAGTAATTACTGCAGTTATTGAGAAACTGCAATAATTACCATCCAGGGTTAACTCCACCTCTAGTGGCTGTCTACCAGACAGCTACTAGAGGGCTTTCTGGTTTGAAACAGACCTTTGGTCTGTTTTCCGACGCTAGACGTCTTCACGCTCTGCATGAGAATCTCCAGCGTCAGATTTTTCCCCATAGGAAAGCATTGAATAAATCCTAATGCGAGCATGGCCATTGCGGCGCATGCACATTAGGTCTCCCCGCCGGCTGAAGTCAGCGTGGATGAGGGTGGGCGTAGCCTGATCCAGCGCCAAGGGAAATCGGCGCTGGGTTCAAGTAAGTGACTGAAGGGGTTTTTACCCCTTCAGCACCGCAGGAGGGGGGGCGCGAGGGAAGGGGGCACTGTAGGATTCTATACTTTGTTTTCCTGGCACTATAGAATCCCTTTAACATACAATCCAGTATGTCTTAATAGTACAGCTGGTAATACAATCCAGCAATCCAGTTCATGCTACCTTAGAGCCGTGTGTGCATAAAAGAAGCAACCAAAAACATTAACATAAGTCATAATATACCTTGAATATTATGTAGGAAAATAAACGGCTACCTTTATATATAAATATTTAGGAGTAAGGCTTTCAAGTGTAGCTCTGAGTTGGAGATTTATTTATTCTGTTGCCTATTTTTTTACATTTCCCCTCCCGCCCCCCCCTTTACTACTATTTGATTAAACGGCACAAGAAAAGCAAGCACCATTAATGCCAAGGTTATCTATCCATTGCTTCCCTAGGGGTTTATTTACTAAACCGTGAGCTGATACCAGAGTTTCAAAATGTAGGTTAACATTGCAGAGGCAGAAAATTATTTTTTCTAACTCTGCTATTGTGTAATAATCATTTCAACTCACTGTCAACTTACTGTTTAGTGAATAAATCCCTGTTTTTTATGTTCTATTTATCTCATACTTCAGAATTGAGGCATGTAGGCGTAGCCTGTAACTGATCATAAAGTATGGATGTAGTCCATACTGTTCTATATGGTGCCAAATTATCCCCTATACACTCCCTTCTATACTTACCACGATACAAGTATCAGCAATATCTTCCTGAAACAAAGATTTTCTACCCTCCCACACACATGGATTGGCTATTAGGGGTCATGTGACCGGAGCCTTTTAAATGCTGAACTGCAGTCTGGAATCCAAAGACATTTCTGCCTTGTGGGATCTTGCAGCAGCAGAGCGGCCAATACTTACTGGCTGCTTTATCTGGGGTGTTCTGTCTTTACTCTGTTTTAGATTCTGGATTTTTTTAGGCTGTTTTTGTATTGTAGGATACTGCATTTGTGATTGATGGGGAGGTACATAAACTTTGACTAGATATATCCGTGACCATTATACATTCTGCAGAACTACAGGAGAGTTTTAAAGTATACAGATTTATTGTAATATATGGGTTATTCACTAAACTCTGAATTCTAACAAATTGAATTCTAAAATAAACAAAATTAAAGAAACACTATAGGGTCAGGAACACAAACATGTATTCCTGACCCTATAGCGTGTTAACACTATCTCGCCCCCCCGCCTCACTAAATATAGTAAAATATTAACTTTATTCCAGTCTACTGGTGCTGGCCCTGCCCCTGATCTGCCTCCTTGGCTGACCTGATCAGTAGTGATAATCCCATAGGAAACCATTGGATTGGCTGAGATTGTCAATTCTGATTATCTCCGCCTAGGAGACGGGCCAGGGGCAGAACCAAACGCCACCCTGGCCAATCAGCATCTTTTCATAGAGATGCATTGAATTGTTTAGTCTGAGGGGGCAGGGCAATGCACTGATCACTATGTTCATTGAGGGGGTGGGGCCAGCGTAGATAATTGTGTTCATACTGAGGGGCGGAGACATGCACTGATCACTCTACAGTCTGAGGGGGCGGAGCCAGGGACGTATTTGCCGCGAGGCAAACAAAACATTTGCCTTGGGCGGCACTTTCCAGGGGATGGCAAAAAATGCCGCCCCCAAATGCTCAGGTAAATACATTGTTAACCTTGTGGCAGCTGTTTATTTCCACGTTTCAATTTATTTTTCACACCTCAAAAATATGTATTTGTTAAATATAGGAAATAAGTTAACATAATGTTTAAAATCCTGAGATGTGAATGCTCCCATTTAATTTTTACCATGCCACCTATCATTTAATAATATACCGATCTCTAAGTTATGATCTAGTTCAAAAGAACTTTTGCTTTTGGAAAAATTGCATACTTATTTTATATTTGTATGTGATTGCAATATATATATCTATAAATGAGATACTAGTTCACTCAATGGTGATTCATCCACAAAGAAAAGCACAGAATTTATGGGCTCTTAATGAGTTACGTAGCTTGGAATCATCAGAAACCAACACAAATGTATATTTGTGTTAGTGAACACAATAAATTGAAGTAACTACTTCAGTTTTACAACATGACAGGAGGCTTCGTATTTTGCATATCTGTAGAATATTGCATATTATATGTTTCTATTGATTATATATGGATGTCTGGATTGACATAAGTAACGGATGGTCTAAGTCACGAGGCTTTCTTTGTCTGAGAACTCTGGAATGTAAGTTGGGGGTTTTGTCCTTATATGGCTAGAGTTATGCTCTGACGTCAGTATGGGCACTTCTATATAGTAACTGAACAAAGAGACACGAGGTCTCTTGGCTCTTGGTTCTCTGGCTCTCTCTCTATGTAAAGATGTAAGGATATTATGTGGATTTAAGGGTATATGTATGTTATACCATCTGTATTATACTATTGGGGGACCCCTCCCCCTGCTTTGCTTTTTCTCCGCAGGGTCTCTTGGGCATCCTGGCTGGGGCTTGGCACTTTCCCGCCCGCAGTTCCCAGGCACTGACCCCTTCCTTCCCGACTACCTGTTTGTCCCTAGCATGTCCGCGGCCTCCCCACGACGTGCCGCTCTCCAGTCGGGGACGGCCGGACTTCCTGCCCTTGCCCTCTCAGACTGCAGCCCAACTCTGCACCCGGCAGTTCGTTGGATGCTTGCCGGCACCCATTACTTACTAGATAAGTGGACTGTGAACACGGGACGCATAGATACATTGCGTTTTGCCGCAGGGGAACACCACTAGGGTACCATCATTTTACGTTCTACTACATCCACAGGGGAGCCCACCGCATCTAGATGGAAGACACTCACTCAAACCTGAGGAGGACACCTTTCACATAATCAACTGACTTGCGTTCATGGACCTAAAGACACGTCATGATGGTCGCTTTCCTTCCCTCTCGGCGACCTTACCCAGGTTCATGGAGACGCTTCCGAAACATCAGCTCCTTTTCCCGATCCATCGGCTCGGAGCCTGGAGGGCCTCGATAAACAACCGAAAACAATGACGAATACAGGTGACGGAGACAAGACCCTATCATCCTGGACAGTTTAATTCAGATAAATCCAGGAAACCGAAACCTTGTCAACACTCACGTTCATCCGAGGTCCGACTGGAACCTCCATGCTTGTAGAGGACGATACGCTCAGAGGGCTCGTAGGCGACTCCATGCCTTGCGAATATTCACACAGTTCAATTAATAAAAAGAAAAAAAGGAGCCTAAATAGTGAGATGAGACAGAAAATGATAGTGTGAAAATGGGGGTAACCCCTAAATGGTTAAATTGAGAAACTAAAAAAAAGGGAAAAACAAACACACTAACAATAGGTGTCTCTAAGTAAATATGTTGTAAAGATTGTAATGTGGTTATCACAGATGAGGTTGTCACCAAACAAAACAAATAAAGTAAAACTTGGCTTTTAAAATTATCTATTAAAAGTGATTTAAATAAAGATAAAGTAACAAAGTAGAGACCAAGATATTTGGTCCTAAATGAAAATTTACAGATTTTACTATTAACATGACGTAAAGTCATGATTTTATTAAGACACGGAGGCGAGTATTATGCTGCACTCTTTCTTTATTTACCTCAGCAGCAAAGAAAAATAACATTAAATCAGTATAAAAGAAACCAGTAAATAACATGAGGTATATCTTCCTAGCAACAGGAACAGCCAATCAGCATCCTCTTTATAGCATAATAGGCAGTGTCCAGTATACTACTTCCTCTTTCTTGCGATCCCGAACAAAGACAACAAATCCAAATAAAAAGTGGGCTCCAATTAGAGGGTATACGAACCTTAAACTGGATCTCGAAGTCAAGCTGGAAGAGAAAGGAGAATATGGTAATATCCAAGTATAAAACTGGATGTATGCATAAATTCGTATTACATGAAATATCAGATATATATACATCAGTTTAGTCAAACCTTAAGCTCTTGACAGTCATTAACAAGGATAAAACCCAGTAATCAAAAAAGACTTACCGTGAAGTCAACTTACCCAGAGAAGACCAAACCTCCAGGGATGGGAGGGAGGGATAATACTCGCCTCCGTGTCATTAATAAAATCATGACTTTACGTCATGTTAATAGTAAAATCTGTAAATTTTATTAAGACACGGAGGCTCCTATTATGCTAGTTCAAAGCTGTGAAATTATGTCTCCTGTGAAGTGTTGAATAGGTCTAAAGTAGAAATCATGGAATGTAGACTCCGAAGACCAGCCACTCTCATAATATCCTCCAAGCGACAACCAATCGAGGAAGCCTTAGAAGCCATTGCCCTACAAACCGAATGAGGCACAGACACATAGGTATCAATACCTGCTAGAGACATTAATGTATTTGACCCACCAGGCTAGAGTAGACACCAGAAGACGCGACTTTTGGAAGGAGATGAAGAGTTCCTGTTTCAAAGGATTCTGTAACGTAGTAGTACGATGTTCACACACCCATTAGTATGCAACAGGGCAAAGGAGAGATCTATCAGGGAAAACTGGGTAAGCGATTTTAGAGGAGGTTTTTGTCCTCCGTGAAATGTCAGAGGACACCTTCTGGAGTAAAGGAACGAGCAACCACCTCACGAGCTCGTACCTCAGAAAAACCTCTTGCAAGAAAAAAATTCAAGACAATAGAGACAGAGTATCGTGGTAAGGGTGAATGAGCAAACCATATTCCTCAGAGAAGTCAATATATGACAGGATGTCAACCGACAGGCGTCCAATCAAAACTTTGATGGCCAGCAGAAATGGACGATCAGTAAGGTCCACAGTGCGATAGGCTTTACCTTCATCATAGAAGTCAGAAAAATGGAGGACAGACATAAAAGGAGCCGATATGGGATTTAAATTTAATTTCATGCACCAACTATGCCATCTGCTCCAAGCAGATTTATAAGCCTGTCTCGTGTTGGGTGCACCCTTGATAAGTTGGGGAGTTGATTGCGAAACTCCCTTGACCGACCAAGGTTCCCTGAAATAGACTACACTATGAGATGCAAGAGACCTTGGAGAACAAGAGGATGAGGTACACCATCTGGATCCTGAAGAAGGCACTCGATAGATGGAAGGTCGATAACCATCTCCTGAAGAGAAGAGAACTATGGTTGGGACGGCGATAGAGGAGCCACGATCAACAGGTGCCGGACTGGCGATGTAGATGGAAAGGCAAAAAATCATAATTCCTTGGAGAAAACATTCATAGCCAGTGCTATCGGATCTGGTCTCCAACTAAAAAAACGGGGAAGTTGAGCATTCAAACGAGAAGCGAAAAGATCTATTTCCAATAGACCCTATAGGTTCCAGATGTCTTGGAAGACCATGGAATCCAAGTGCCAGTCGCTGGAATCTGAGTTGGCGTGAATACCAGTCCGTCGTAGTGTTGGAGAGACCTTGAATATATTCTGCCGTGACTGAAATGCCGTGTCTCAGGCAAAATTGCCAGCAATCACGAGGCATGTAGGTCAGAATTTTGTATTTTGTGCCTCCAAGTGATTGATGTAGCGGACTGCTGACACGTTGTCCATCTTCAAAAGGATAGCGCATTGGGCTTGAGTTGGGGAGAAACTATGGACTGCAAAGGAACCGGCCAGATGTTCCAAACAATTGATGTGGAGTGTTGATTCCAGGTTTGATTATCTGCCCTTGGTGGAAATAGTTCCGCATTGAGCACCCCAACCGTGCAAACTTGCGTCGGATTTGATTATCAAATCTGGAGCTGTACAAAATATGGTGTGCTTATTCCAAGCTTCCATGTGAAGAAGCCACCATTGGAGTTCATCCTCCGCTTCTGAGTCCAGAGTTACCATATCTGTGTATGATGCGCTGCCCTTGAGATTAAGTTTGTAATCGTTGTAGGGCTCGATAGAAGGGGAGATCCCTGATAGGAGTGATTCACAGAGATCAATAGATGATAGTTGGTAACAGAAAGGAAAATATCACGTCCCTGTACCTAGACTGAACTTATCAGTACAAAACTAACGTTCCTTCGAGGACACCCCTTAAGTAAAAACTGCACCATTACTCGGCCCCCCACTAAGTAGCAAGACCGAAAATAAATAGAAATTTAAAAACCAAAAACGGGCATAGAGCCCAATCTTCAATAATTTTCAATTATTAACATGTTTCCTTAGTTGTCTGGTTTATATATATATATATACTATCCTATTTTACTTCTATACTATGTTATGGGCATCTGCACTCAAGTATATATGTAACAAAAAACTAAAAATCAACATTTAAATTAAACAATTTGTAAGGCACACTTTTTATTCCTGACACAGCATGTGCACCCAATTCCTAATTGTTTTACACTGGCACAAATTTAGCAAATCTAAATTATATACGTGCACAAATAAAACAAATTCATACGCTATGAATCCCTATCTTCTAACAATGATAGAAATGGCCTGTATAGATGCCGCTAGAAGGCCTAACATTCTCAACAGTTGTTTGAGAGAGAGTTGAGAGGTTGCTAGTGTTCGCCTATCTCCTTCTTTATATTGGCTAATTTTGCCACCGGAGGGTGTAGAGTTTGAAGGGTAGAATCTACAATAATCCAATATAATCCAGAAATTGTATTTGTTGCGTGGGAACGATAATGGATTTCTCCCAATTGGTCAGGAAGCCTAGGTTCTCTAACAGAGTCAAAGTCAATGCAAGGTATGTCCGGATTAATTGAATAGACTGAGCCAGAATGAAAATGCCATCTAAATATATTATAAGATGTGAGCTTGGTGAAGCACCATGGAGCCGAAGACAGTCCGAATGGGAGGCACCTGAACCTCTATTTACTGCCCTACCATTTAAATTGCAGGAAGTTCTCGATTTTGATGTTGTACTGGGATAAGCACTGTGAGATATACATCCTGCAGATCCAATTTGGCCATCCAATCTGCTGGTTGGAGAAGATCCCTTAAACAATGCTCTCCTTCCATCTTGGAAGTGCTGATATGCTCATAACTATTGAGCAATCTCAAATTTATCACTGTACGGATACCTTTGCCTTTTTTGGGAAACAAGAAAAGGTTGCTCACGTAACCCAGGGTATGCGCCAGAATCTCTACAATTGATTGTCCACAGAGACAAGGTCTGTGTCTCATTGGGAAAAAACAATTTCCCTTGATGGGGAACATTGAACAGGTAGAGAAAGGAAGTCTATGCAATACCCTTTCACAGTGTGAAGAACGTAAGCATCTGATGAAATGAGGGATCATACATGGGAAAAATGTGTGAGCCTGCCCCCCACTATCAGTAAGAAAGAATGGATATTGTGAAGACGTCTTAGGAGCACCTCTTAGGCCACTAACAATCCAGGGTCGGCCACTTTGTGAGAAGGAGGTTGGTATAGTGCATTGTTCAAAGAAATCGGCTCAGCAAGTATAAGAGCCTTGGTTCTGTATAAAAGAACTTCTGTTTGTTTAGCAGGACAAAGGAGCCCAATTCTTTTACAAAGTTGTCCCCAAAGAGAAAACCTTTTGCCTGTGTTATCTGGCTCGTTAAGAGCCATAGATAAACGTTTGGGCTCAATCTTGAGCAAGATCGATTTGTGGCGTTCTGTGACAACCGCATTGTTGGCGTTGCCAACTTAAATCACTCTCTGGATCTAACCACTTAAGATGGCGCAATCTAATTCTAGATCATCCTCCACTGCTTCAAAGATCTTGGCTGCTGAGCCCAAGATGCCCAGGATTTTATCCTGACAGTTTTGCAATGAAAATCTAAGCCTTTAGATGGCTTCCATCCTGTCTTACTCAGGAATTGAATGATTTTAGGATTGACTGATGGCGTTTAACATGAGTCATCAGGGACTGTTCGGCGTGGCCATTCACCCCGCAATTTATTTCACTTTGCCTTCTCAAAAGGCTTGCGTACTCTGGATGCAATATACTTGGCTACATGGTCTGAGGAGACCACTGGGTGACATAGGTCGTCAGGTTTGAATAGGGGTTCACATTGAGTGTCCAAGATCCTATCGGTGTCCCTGAGTCCGCATAATCTACCTAAATCTTGGTAGGTTTAACAGGACGTGTATCCCAAACGGGATTAGCATCCTCTTCATCAGTAATTTCATAATCAGGATCAGAAATATCCTCTGAATCCTTCATATAGGACTCAGGGAACTCCTCCTCAATATCACTGAGCTCAGATTCAGAGTTCAGTTGGGCTTTTGCCCTTTTCCAGTCTAGTCGATTTTGCCCGACTAGTAGCTCTTTTGCGCGGTGGTAAATTAATCGCGCCATCCGTGACAGGTATGGAACTGTCCATCTCTATTGTTTTGGAGGAGTGTTTAGCCTTATATGAGGCCTTGCGGCCAGGCTGAAGCAGAGCAGGTGTGAGTACAGATACACCTCCATATAGTACTCAGGGAAACTCCTCCTCAATATCCTTGAGCTCAGATTTAGAGTTCAATTGGGCTTTTGCCCCTTTTCAAAGTCTAGTCGATTTTGCCCGACTAGTAGCTCTTTTGCGCGGTGGTAAATCGCGCCATCCGTGACAGGTTTGGTACTGTCCATCTCTATTGTTTTGGAGGAGTGTTTAGCCTTATATGAGGCCTTGTGGCCAGGCTGAAGCAGCGCAGGTGTGAGTACAGGTACACCTCCATATAGAACTCGGGGAACTTCTCCTCAATATCACTGAACTTGGATTCAGAGTTTAATTGGGCTTTTGCCCTCTTCCAAAGTCTAGTCGATTTTGCCCGACTAGTAGCTCTTTTGCGCGGTGGTAAATTAATCGCACCATCCATGACAGGTATGGAACTGTCCATCTCTATTGTTTTGGAGGAGTGTTTAGCCTTATATGAGGCCTTGCGGCCTGACACCAGGGCCTTGTCATTGCTTTTGCCATGGAAGTGTCAATTAAAGCCTGCATGTCAGCAGGATCAGTAAAGCAGAAATTCAGCCTCATCTCCAGAGATACCTGGAGAGGCTTCTACATTAATCTGCATGTTTGCTGTAGACCCAGAAGGCACAGAAAGATCCTGTCAGACTGCATCATAAATATACAAACAAACCTAAGGGGATGAATAAAGCAAAATAATACCAAAAGTAAAGGGTTGAGTAACCCTCAAGTAAAAAATAAATAAATAACTAAACAGGATAAAGAAATGAAATTACTCACAATAGTGAAAAAATAGCAATTGTAATATAAAAACAAAGGAGCTGCCCGGCTGCCACTACCACTACACCCCATCTTGGATTTCAGGCAGTTCGTGGCAGAGCAGCAGCCAGACAGATAAATGAAGGGAAAAAACAGCACAATGCCACTATTCAGGGGATAAAGATCCTCAAAGACGTCCCTGAGCCCCAATTGATGGTAATCTTGGGGCCAGGGAGGTCAGAGGGGAAATACATTATCAAAGGATATATAATAAAGCATATTACTGAAGCAAATGAAGTAAATAAATCAAATTACGTTAAAATGAAGTAACTAAATATATTTATAAACATGAAAATATTATAATTAAAATGTAATAACTATAATAACTATATTAAGCACAGTAATGATATGAATAAAGTAAAGTAAAAGATCCCACAGTTAAGAACCGTGGGACCCAGTGTCACTTAACTGAGGGAGCAGCAAAGAAAGAGGAAGTAGTATACTGGACACTGCCTATTATGCTATAAAGAGGATGCTGATTGGCTTTTCCTGTTGCTAGGAAGATATAACTCATGTTATTTACTTGTTTCTTTTATACTGATTTAATGTTATTTTTCTTTGCTGCTCAGGTAAATAAAGAAAGAGTGCAGCATAATACTCGCCTCCGTGTCTTAATAAAATTATAGTCTTGCTAGAGCAACACTAAGCATTCTTAATCAGTATGACTACCTGAAAGAGACAATGTATCGAAAAATAAAACTTTGTGATGAACAGCATCTATTTGTACAATATATACAATACAGGTAGGGGGAGAGGCGATAACTATTCCCAATAACTAGACTCTGCTGCAGAAAGAGTCCAGTCAGATAGTTGAGCTGCCTCAATTAGGCAGAATGTGTATATACAAATCGCTTAACTCCACCAAAATAGGAGTAAAAGAGTGCCAAAAAAGTGTATAATATGAAAAAAAATTATATAGAAGGGGAGATCCCTGATAGGAGTGATTCACAGAGATCAATAGATGATAGTTGGTAACGGAAAGGAAAATACCACGTCCCTGTACCTAGACTGAACTTATCAGTACAAAACTAACGTTCCTTCGAGGACACCCCTTAAGTAAAAACTGCACCATTACTCGGCCCCCCACTAAGTAGCAAGACCGAAAATAAATAGAAATTTAAAAACCAAAAATGGGCATAGAGCCCAATCTTCAATAATTTTCAATTATTAACATGTTTCCTTAGTTGTCTGGTTTATATATATATATATATATATATATATATATATATATATATATATATATACTATCCTATTTTACTTCTATACTATGTTATGGGCATCTGCACTCAAGTATATATGTAACAAAAAACTAAAAATCAACATTTAAATTAAACAATTTGTAAGGCACACTTTTTGTTCCTGACACAGCATGTGCACCCAATTCCTAATTGTTTTACACTGGCACAAATTTAGCAAATCTAAATTATATACGTGCACAAATAAAACAAATTCATACGCTATGAATCCCTATCTTCTAACAATGATTGTTTATTGGAAACTCACAGGATTATAGGTGATCAAGGCGTGGAGCTTTGGTCTTCGAGATTGGACAGCATGGAAGCAGAGGTACATAAACATCAAAAAATTACAAGTGACTGCAGTTAAATGATCATTTCAAGCACAATAACTACTGCAGCTGTAGAACCTATGGTGTCAGGAAGACCCCAGGGACCTCTATTATAAGTAGTCAAACCATTTGACTTATTATGACTCCACTACCGACGACCGCCATCCAGAAGCTCTGTGCCTGAGCTAAAACCGGCATGTGGCCAACACTAATATTGGATACTTACTCCCAGTAAGTTGTTGTATCCAGTTGGTAGAGGCAATATTAATTCTAAAAGGATACTTCCATTGCCATGTTAGTTAATTATGTCAACAGAAAGGCCATACAGATCGTTTCTACTGATGTGGGCAAAACATATAGACAGGACAATAGATCTGACCTCCTCATTCACATCTTGGCATTTATCATCTGTACGTTCAAATGCTTCTGTAGATACATTTTAAAACTCCAATCTACAAGCATCTGATGGATTTTAAAATTCACACTAATTTTGGCCAACACAACAAATCTATGTCCAAACTATATACAAAAGGGAATACACTTGGCTACTGTCTGAAATGGCTGAAAATTGACAACCTCACTGTAATGTAGATCTGTTTGTTTCAAGTTTGTAATTAGGGCAGAGTATATAGAAATGCAGTCCTTATCAGGCCACTAAATTGTTGAGTCAATATTGGACAATGTTTATTTGTGGCGAAGCATGACAAAATAGATTGCAGATCCCTTGTGTTTTATTATTATTAAAAATAATTAATAATATAATAATACAAAAATTACCCTTCCTATGCAGCCTGCACCCCTCTCTTGTTGACTCTGCTCCCACTCATCACACTATACTCTCTCTTCTCCCTTTGATACTCCATAATCCATCCCTGAGCATGGCTGATCTCCATAAACCCTCCCTGAGCATTTTTGCTCTACATGTCCTGGGCTCTCCTATCCCCGGTCTCGTTCATGCAGTTATCTGGCACTGGAGCTGTGTACGTGCTAGATTGGCTGGGTATGATGCCCCTTATCATACGGTGTCCTGCTGATAGCGCTGTAGACAACGTGACTGGCCTAAGGGACTGATTTCCCATTACACAGAGTAAACACCTACAGATCTAATATAGGGGCCTACTCGACCTGGTAAAAGTACTGTCTCTACCTTGTGCCCAGTATCTGTTGTTTTCTGTGGCTCCAGGACTCTGGGATCACTGTATTCAGTCTGAAGAGCTTGATCTGTGCATGGCTCCGCCCAGTGATGTATTTATTTTCTGTGCAGCCCTAGGTGTGACGGAACGCGGGCACCCCCTAATTTACATCCGCCCCACCCCTTCCTGTCAATGTCACACCTCTTCCTTTTAAACGACTAACACACACTTTAACTGACACACACTCTCAGATACACTGACATACACACACTGATTTGACACAAACAATCACTGACATACACACAATCACTGACATGCAGACACACACACTGACAGGCATACACAATCACTCAGACACACACACACATTCACTGACAGACACTCACAGACACACACAAGCGTCCTCACAGACACAATTACTCAGAAACAAACACATATTCACTGACAGACACACACACTCTCACTCACTGACAGACATCCACACACACAATCACTCAGATACACACTGACAGCCAGACAAACACAATCACTCACTTGGATACACACTGACAGACATACACACACTCCCGGCATCATTCTGCGGCGCGGGAGGGAGCTGAGCAGAGAGCTCACAAATCAGTGCTCCCTCACCAGCGCCGCCCTTCCGGTGGCATTCCTTGAAGGAGTTCCAGGGTGGCATCTCTTGAAGGAGTTCAAGGGTGGTATCCCTTTGAGGGTCCAGTACCTTCAAACCACAAGGGTACAACATAAACCCATAAATATAGGACAGTTTAGAATACTTACCCGTACCTGGATTGGAACCAGGAACCCTGTGATCCAACAACCGTGTCAAAGCAGCCTGAGCCATGCGAGCGGCTAAAGTTCAGCTGGCAGCCCAGGCGTGCGCGAGTAGCAAGATGACCGCCCATAACCTCCGAAGGGCAGGCTATTTTAGCTGCTGTCCGTTCTAAGAATACTCTTGCGGCCCATTTTTTGCTCTCCATTAGTTTAAAGGGTAATCCAGACGTGGACCCTTGCTCACGGTGCCTAGAGACATATCAGCTATGCCTCACTGACGATGCCTAACAAGGCTGAAACGATCGTCTGGGGTTGCTGTATCTCTCGTGCAGAGAGAACTTGCTGGCATTTCGGATCTGGACTGCCCGTATGGGTGGGACCAGTCTGATATGCTTCAGATATGTTCTCTCTGTAATGGCACAAGATGAGCTAAAACCAGCTTGAGTTCTGAGCAGGGACCCACCGAAGGGCAGGCTATTTTAGCTGCTGTCCGTTCTCAGAATACTCTTGCGACCCGCTTTTTCTATATGCACACAAAAAATAAAGAATTTAAATATAATATCTATAAAATACATGTGATATAAATCGCGTAACGGGTATGAAGTAAGTATAACATGAAATATATATATATATATATATATATATTTATATATATATATATATATATATATATAATATCTATTAAATACAGTCACAAACAGAGTATGAATATAAATTATTGGAGAAGAGTAATACTCTGTCCTTTATGCCGTATGTCCTGGAAATCCTGTTTAGCAGTTCACAGAGGCTGTAGCAGCATGTGTTCATACAGTATCACAGTGCAGTAAAAATACAGTAGTGGGTTTACCCCTTGAGTGTAGACCACAGTCCTGACAGAGAGCACTAATCCATGCTCTAATAGTTAATACAAGTTTATGGGTGAAATCCCTTTAAACAGCTTATATAAATGACCTAATTCAACATTAACATGCAACCCCAGTAAGAGCCAAAAGCCCCTCAAACCCCAGAGACGTGAGAGCAAGGAGGGGAGAGGGCAGAAACCAAGAATAAGGTAGAAACACAATAAATAACACAGCTGCACATAGTACAAAAGCACAGCAAGAACAAACAGCAACGTATATCAAAAAAATATAATACAGAAACAACCTCAAAAGAGGCAATATAAACATTAAAGTAAGGAAAAGAGTAATACTCTGACCTGTCTGCTTGGTGGAGCAGTAAAGAAAGAGGAAATGATGAGGTCACATTGCATTATGTACATCCTACTCTCTTGTGATTGGTTCTTTTTTCTGTGTTTCTCTACTGCTGTATGGAGTTATTAAAGAGAGAGATGCAAAATACGAAACCTCCTGTCGTGTTGTAAAATTGAAGTGGTTACTTCAATTTATTGTGTTCACTAACACAAATATATATTTGTGTTAGTTTCTGATGATTCCAAGCTACGTAACTCATTAAGAGCCCATAAATACGGTGCTTTTCTTTGTGGATGAATCACCATTGAGTGAACTACACTCTGTTCCAAATTATTATGCAAATAGTTTTTTTTTCTCAATTACCTAAATAATTGATGTAAATAACAGTGAGCATAATTCTCATGTTATCAACTATTAAGAGTACAATTCAAATTTTATTGAACAAACCTCCTAATGATAACAGTATTTTTTTAAACATAAAAACTTACAATGCACTGTTCCAAATTATTACGCACAGTAAGTTTCAAAACACTTTATAGGTTGTAAAGAACTGAAAATTGTCATTTGTTGTGTTTGCAGCATATTTACTGAAATCAAAAGCTATTGCAATCAAACTTATAACAACATTTTAACTTTTTTAACATTTTAACAGGTCACGTTACATTTTAACATACAACCCCTTATTTGATAGCAGCTTCACAAGTCTTGCGAATTCTGCTTGAATTTGTTTGCAAGATGTCAGAATAGCCTCCCAGAGCTGCTGTTTGGATGTAAACTGCCTCCCACCCTCATAGATCTTTTGCTTGAGGGTGCTCCAAAGCTTCTCAATAGGATTGAGGTCAGGGGAGGATGGAGGCCACACCATGATTTTCTCTCCTTTTATCCCCATAGCAGCCATTGATGCAGAGGTATTCTTTGCAGCATGAGGTGGTGCATTGTCATGCATGAAGATGATTTTATTACGGAAAGCATAGTTCTTCCTTCTATACCAGGGAAGAAAGTAGTCAGTCAGAAACTCCACATACTTTGCAGAGGTCATCTTTACACCTTCGGGGACCCTAAAGGGGCCGATCAGCTCTCTTCCCATGATTCCGGTCCAAAACATGACTCCACCACTGCCTTGCTGATGTCGTAGCCTTGTTGGAACAGGGTGGCCGCCACCAACCATCCACTACTCCATCCATCTGGACCATCCAAGGTTGCATGGCACTCATCAGTGAACAGGACTGTTTGAAAATTAGTTTTCATGTATTTTTCTGCCCAATGCAGCCATTTCTGCTTGTGAGCATTGGTTAGTGGGGCCGAATAGAAGGTTTATGCACAGTTGCAAGACTCTGGAGGACTCTACACCTTGATGTCCGTGGGACTCCAGATGCATCAGCAGCTTCAAATATCTGTTTGCTGTTATGTAATGGTGTTTTAGCAGCTGCTCTCTTGATCCGATGCATGGATTTGGAAGAAATCTTCCTCAATGTGCCTTTATCTGCACGAACCAGTCTGTGCTCTGAATCCGCCACAAATCTCTTAATAGTGCGATGATCACGCTTAAGTTTTCGTGAAATATCTAATGTTTTCATACCTCGTCCAAGGCATTGAACTATTTCACTCTTTTCGCAGCAGAGAGATCCTTTTTTCTTACCCATATTGCATGAAAATGGTGCTCTGCTTAATAATGTGGAACACCCTCCTTTAGTAGTTTTTCCTTAAATTGGGCTCACCTGGCAATCTAATTATCACAGGTATCCCAGATTGTTTTCAGTGATCAAAAGAGCCCTGAGACACAATGCCATCCATGAGTTAAACTGAAAAACAAAATCTTTAATCTTTGTGACACTTAAATAGAATTTGCATAATAATTTTGAACAGGGTGTAGTATCTCATTTATAGATATATATATATATATTGCAATCACATACAAATATAAAATAAGTATGCAATTTTTCCAAGAGCAAAAGTTCTTTTGAACTAGATCATAACTTAGAGATCGGTATATTATTAAATGATAGGTGGCATGTTAAAAATTAAATGGGAGCATTCACATCTTAGGATTTTAAACATTATGTTAACTTATCCCCTATATTTAACAAATACGTACCTGTATTTTTGAGTTGTGAAAAATAAATTGAAACGTGGAAATAAACACCTTTTTATTCTGCAAGTGGGAGCGTCCAATGTTACAAACTGTATCGTTGGCACCTGGCAGTCAGCATAGAGAATTAATTTTTGGAAAAGAAGAAATGAAGCCGTGTTGTTATTACTTGTGCAACGGTTGCCCTGACTTTGCCTTGTCTAAACTGTAATTTACTAAAAGTTTAAATTTGGGAAAAAAAGAGTATTTTACAGAAAAAATAACATGTTATATAGGTGATTTTCAATATTTTATTCAATTATGTAAATTCCAGCATAGTGACAGTTTCCCTTTAAGGTTTTGTGTACAACACAGCATCAGATCACACTGTACCATAGACTTGGCTAGTATATTTTTTTCTAAATTAATTATCGTTTTATTGATTTCACACAAGGTAAGGAAACCTATACAATTACATTTACATCAGAGAACATGAGGTGGTTGCATTCCGTCAGGTAAGTAAAAGATTCTGAACATACATACAGGATAAGTGGTAACAGTTAATACATGTTGCATTGATTCAAACTGTGTTCATTGCAGTAGTTAATAAAAAAAAAAAAAAAAAAAAAAATGTTTTAAAAAGACACAAGCGGTATAATCACCGGATATTCCAGGTATGTGGGGTGTCCTAATTTCAAATTCTGCAGCGGAATGAACCGGGAAGGAGCTTTGGTTTTTAGGTGTCCCCTGCATGCATAGTGTCAGCTTAGCGTTTAGAACAAAATACAACTACAAATAATAACAGGTGAAACAAAGTGCCAAGTGCTTGATATATATAAAATATGTTGTCGGGTAGGGAGAAAGAAAGATCTCTCCGTTCAAATTAGTGTGAGAGCTGTCCAATATACCAATACACAGATTACCAGGAAGTTATGAGGTAAGTACAGGTACAAGTAACACCTGGGGGGAGGCGGACATGGCTCAGATGACTATATGGGGCAAGTCCATGTATATACAATATTAGGTATGCAGGCGTGGTGATTGTAGCGGGTTTTAGCAGGTCCTGCAATTAGAGTGACAGGCCATAAGAAATCATGGGATCTATTGTGTGTTTTTGGCCAGAAAAGTTTTCCACGGCTGCCAAATGTCTCTGTATCGGGAGTATTTGCCTAATGTCGCCCATCGAATCTCCTCCAATATTCAGAAGTGTTATACCCTAAGAATCAATGCCTGCATACTGGGTGGACAAGTGGATCGCCACAGGTTAGGGACCACCAGTTAAGCAGCTAAAGGAATAAAATAAAGCATTGAACATTTATATTTGTTGTCTGTAATGTTCACTCTATGGAGGAGAAAGGAGGGAACATCCATATCTAAGTGGATACCTAAAGCATCTCGGACGAGGTCGTGCACCTCTTTACAAAATGGCGTTATGTCTGCACATGTCCACCATATGTGGTGGAGAGTGCTATTTGCATCCTTGCATCTCCAGCAGGTTTCTGGAGTGTTCAGGGCGTATTTGTGGACATCAACTGGGGTTATATACCACCTAGTTAGAAGTTTATAGTTAGCTTCAAGGAGTTGCACACTAACGTGAGAGTGGGTGATTCTGTAGAACGTTTTATACCAGTCATCCTCTGACATTTGGGGTAGTAAATGAGTCATTCCATTGGCGTGTGTATAAGGGGGGTTTTGGGTGTACCATGGGTTTCGGCATTTTGTAGCAAGTGGATAAGCGTTTAGGGACTGGTTTGGTCCAAGAGAATAATAGTTAAAATTTAGTGGCCTGTTGGATACCAGAGGGTGGTATTTGAAGTGTTTTTTAAAAATGTTGTAATTGGCTAGTGTACTTTGTATTACACATATAATCTGTATCTGACAAGAAGAGGCCATTGAAGTATAGGAAATTAAGTCACATACATTTTTCCCCCAACAGGGTACACTGGAACCTCATCTAAAGAGTTATTTTTAAATGGTGCATGGAGATACAAATAAATCGCTAGCTAACTTGACATAAGTACAACTATGGTCCCATACCACTTTGTACCTTACTTTACATAATACATAGCAGCTGTTGCGTACAGGATTCAAAATACTTATTGATCCAATGTGAACATTTCCACCTATCGGTATATAAATATCAAAAGCATATTAAGGCGAAATTTTTTAAAAAGCACTTGCTTTCAAACACAATAAAAAAAATAAGTTTAAGTTAGTATAATTCAATATGGAAAATAACTGCCAAAACACCAGAGTGAGAGATTTTTAGGTTTCTTTAATAATGTATTTTTAATTTTGAGATCTATTAAAGGGACACTCTCTAAGCACAAACAGATGGCAGTCTTGGAGCATAGATGCTGTCCATATTTTAGGACAATGTAAAATGTTTCTGAGAAATGCTATATTTAGATTTGTTCAGAAACACACCTCTAGTGGATATCAGCCAGACACTAAAGTCACTTCCTTCTTAAAACCTTATCTTTAGAGGGGCGTGGCCTGACCTCGGAATGAGCTGGACGAGTTTGTGTGAGGCTCTGCTCCGATAACGCTGTATTAAGCCTACTTTAGCTATATAATCAGCCTGACACCGACTGACTAATGGAGAAACAGAACTCTAAGAAGGGGGAAGAGGCTGGAGCTTCGGTCATGGACATGCTTACCGCCAATATACCGAGACCAGCACCGGACCAAGACGGCGCCGAGGTAGGCCACATTTCTTCCATGCCCTCGCCGCGCAGCGTTATGGTCTCGGAGCCACCCCGGTGTGACACCACACAAATATTGGCGAAGCTCACTGAAGTGAGATCATACCTGGAAGGAGAGATTGTGAAGTCCACGGCCATCCTGCGGAACAATATCCACGCACTGGGCGCGAGAACCGGGCGCCTGGAGGAGCGCATGGAGGAGGCCACAAGAATGCATAATGAGGTAGTGGCCCAGGTCAACACACTCACCTCGCGCTTACTGGAAGCTGACCTGGCGTTGGAGGATGTCGCGAACCGGTCTCGGTGCAACAACCTCTGGATTAGGAGCCTGCCGGAGAAGGAGGGAGAGGGACCCCTTGCTGACCTCATACTCACCATCTTTAAACCGCTCCTAACATTCCTGACAATTTGTGGCAGATTGAAAGGGCACATAGGGCCCTCCGGGCACGGCGTCCCGAGGCGAACTCACCAAGGGATGTTATCGTCAAATTTTTGCACTTCCCGACTAAAGAAGCAATACTCCAGAAAAGGCAGAGAGGGCCCTATCACACATGGAGGAGCTAACATCGCATTATACCAGGCCTTAGCACCTAGCACGCTCCAACGCAGAAGAGACTGGAAGCCAATCACTGAAGCTTTGCGCTGGGCTGGAGTCCGCTACGCATGGGGCTTCCCTTTCCGACTAATGGCATTCAGAGACGGCAGGGTGCATGTGCTGACACCTGGAGGAGACCCAAAGCGATTCTTCTGAGATTTGGGCCTGGTGCCCCCATTAAACCTTCCAGCTGTTCCTGTGCCGGCGGAGGAGCTGCAACTCCTGCCAACTGAGTGGCAGGCTGCCGGAACCAGAGGCCACTGAGGCCTGAGGAGGGTGTCGTATATACTCAAAAGCATTGTCCCTGCACCGACCGCACTCTGGGCGTTAAGTGGAGAAGGGGGTTTCATGGTCTAGTGGGGAGGGAGATCCTTGAAGGGGGGGATGTAGCGTTAGATGCAGCAGTATAGCGTCTGAGTGGCTGGGAGGGTAAGACACTAAGTGGGGTGGGATGGGCTGGGAGGCCTTGGGAGCCTTTTTTCCGCTGGTGGGGCCCTGCAGGGCTCTATGGCCCGCATATTATGTAGGGACATGCTGTGGGGTTTTGAAGCTGTGACTCGGGACCCCTTGGGGGGTCTGGGAATCCCGGGCTGGACCACTCTATCTGGGACTGCATCGGAGGACATTATTGGCCCACGGCATATGCAGTCGCGGTTGGCAGCCCCATTGGAGTGGGTGATGGGGACAGAGGGACTAACCAGCATGTCCAGAAACCGGGACAGACCTTGGGGAGGGGACCGCTGTAACCGTCACTCCTTGTTATGTGTAATGCCATACTATTGCATATTATGCAACTTGTCTGTAAATGTATATGTATACCTCGTAGGCACTCCAAACAGCAGTCCCGCCTTCACACATGAAAAGCATTACCAACGACACGCAGTAGGAGGTGGCTGAGCACGGGACAGGAAGTTTGTCTCCATGTAACCCGAGGGGCTGAGCTGGGGCTTCTAGACGGGGGGCATTCACCTTTGTAGGGGGTCGGGTGCCGTCACCTCAGAGGTCCCACGGCAAGGCTAGCCCAGACACCTTCACCAGAGGGCAGGCCAGACGCCAGACTGGGTGAACAGATACGGGGGAAGCTGGACCCCTTTTAAGAGATATGGCATGGGAAGTAGGGAAGGGCGAAGTAGGGTGGTGTAGGTGCGTGCGGAGGGGAGGGCTGGGGAACAGCTGTAGGTATAGGGTATACAGCAACCATTTAAACGGAGGCAAACAAACCCGGGGAGGAATAGGGTACAGCGGCAGGTATAGGGTATACAGCAACCATTTAAACGGAGGCAAACAAAACCGGGGAAGGATAGGGTACAGCGGCAGGTATAGGGTATACAGCAGCCATTTAAACGGAGGCACGCAAACCTTTTTAAAAATGTAATTAATATTTTTAAAGAAAAATACAAAACAAGAAATCACCATAAAAATGCATGAAGGTGGATTGGCGGGGGTCGCTGACCCTGCTCGGCCGAGGGGGGATGCTCTCAATAGCTCTGTGTCTGGTTCGGTACCTTGACCATGAACATTACCTCTCTGAACATGAGGGGTCTTAACGCCCCGACCAAGAGGCGCCTTCTCTTTCACAAATTGAAATGGGCAGGAGCTGATATAGCGTTTGTCCAGGAGACACACTTGCCTAAACAGGTACGCTTCACACTTAGAGACCATACCTATGCAGTCTCTCATGAGGCCAGGGCCCACCATAAGCGCAACGGGGTAGCGATCTTGATGAAGACTGACACGGACATAGAGGGGCGCTATATCATAGACTTTCTCCATTATAAATTTATGCTGAGCTCATACAGCTTGGCTCTTTCCTCTGCAAAAGTTAATTACTTAAATACCCTCATAACCACACTCTCCCGCGAACCCAAACGACTATTTCACACACTTAACTCTCTTCTTCGCCCTGTTGTTCCTCCTCCACCTACTAACTAGACCGCCTCAGACTTTGCAACTCACTTCACTGACAAGATCTCTACGATCAGAGAAGATATCTCTCATCTTTCTTCTTCCCCTTACAATACTTCCCCTAACTTCACTCCCTCTGCTGTTCTATGTTCATTCGCACCCGCTACATTGGAAGAGGTTTCTGCTCTGCTCCAGTCCTCCCGCCCCACCACCTGCTCCCTAGATCCAATTCCCTCGCATCTCATCCGTACTCTGTCTTTTTCTCTTTCTCCACCTCTCACTAAAATTCTCAATCTCTCTCTCTCCTCTGGTATATTTCCATTGCCATTCAAACATGCAACTGTAACCCCAATTCTAAAGAAGCCATATCTTAAGCCTAACTCCCCATCCAACTATCGTCCTATCTCGCTACTGCCTTTTGCACCCAAGATCCTTGAAAAAATTGTGTATGCGAGATTGACAGACTTCCTCGAGTCCAACTCTCTGCTAGACCCGCTTCAGTCTGGTTTCCGCGCTAAGCACTCTGTAGAAACGGCACTGACCAAAGTATCCAATGATCTACTCGCTGCAAAATCTCGTGGTCCCTACTCTATCCTAATTCTCCTTGACCTGTCTGCGGCTTTTGACACTGTTGATCAACAGCTTCTTCTCATCCTCCGCAATATCAGTCTACAAGATATTGCTCTCTCCTGGTGCTCCTCCTACCTCTCCCAGCGCTCTTTCAGTGTTTCTTTCCCTGGCTCTGCTTCTTCTCCCCAACTCCTCTCTGTTGGGGTCCCCCAAGGTTCAGTCCTTGGTCCCCTACTGTTCTCCATCTATACTGCCTCCCTTGGTAAACTCATTAGCTCCTTTGGCTTCCAATATCATTGTTATGCAGATGACACGCAAATCTACCTGTCCTCTCCTGATCTTTCCCCGTCCCTCTTGACTAGTGTCTCTGACTGCCTCTCTGCTATTTCTAACTGGATGGCTGCCCACTTCCTTAAACTAAACTTGACCAAAACTGAAATTCTGGTCTTTCCTCCCTCAAGTGTTATTACTCCTGTGTCTGTCTCCCTCCAAGTCAACAGTGCTACCATCAGCTCCACCACGCAGGCTCGCTGCCTAGGTGTTCTCTTTGACTCCGACCTCTCCTTCAAGCCTCATGTTCAATCTATCGCCAAATCCTGTAATTTCCATCTCAAAAACATTGCACGCATCCGCCCCTACTTAACGCCAGATGCGACTAAGGTGTTGGTCCATTCCACTGTCCTTTCTCGCCTTGACTACTGTAATCCACTTCTCAGTGGTCTTACGTGCTCCCAACTTGCGCCGTTACAGTCCATAATGAATGCGTCAGCGAGGCTCATCTTCCTGTCCGCCCGCACCTCCCATGCCTCACCCTGCTGTCAGTCCCTACATTAGCTTCCTATAAAATATAGAGCTCAATTTTAAAATTCTGGTTCTTGCTTTTAAATCTCTACATAATGCAGCTCCCACCTATTTATCCTCCCTTATACACAAGTATGTCCCGTCTAGGCCCTTACGATCTGCTGAAGACTTATGCCTATCTTCTGTCCGTACTCCCACCTCTGATGCTCGCCTTCAAGATTTCTTGAGGGCTGCACCATTCCTGTGGAACTCTCTTCCCTCGTCCGTTAGATGCTCACCCAGTCTCCACTCCTTCAAAAAATCGTTAAAAACCCACTTCTTCATAAAAGCGTATCAATTAAACTGTTAATAGCTCCTGACTGATTCGTCTTCTGCAACTGTCACTAGTCTAATACTATCCTTACCTTTCTGTGTCATTTTACCCCACTCCCTCTAGCATGTAAGCTCTTTGAGCAGGGCCCTCAACCCCTCTGTTCCTGTGTGTCCAACTTGTCTGGTTACAACTACATGTCTTTTCGTCCACCCATTGTAATGTGCTGCTGAATTTTACGGCGCTCTATAAATATCATAATAATAGTATCTGGGGTTCTATATTCCCATACAATCCATCTGGTTAATATCTACGCCCCTAACCAACAATTACTTACAAAATCTAGACGCTGCCGCGAGGCATGGTCCTTGTAGGCAGGGACTTCAACGCAGCGCCGAGCCCTGCGGTGGATAGAAGTACCCACAGGGGCTTGCCCAGGTCACAGGGGAGGGGGGGACAGGACAAACTGTTACACAACTTTACGACACGATCAGGCTTGGTGGATGTATGGATGGCTCCACACCCGAGTGAGGTCGATTACACGTACTACTCAGCCCCACACGGCACATACTCCAGGATAGACCTTTTTTTTTGGCTAATGATTGTTGCCTTGCGTGCACCACTGGCTCGTCTGTAGGATCCATCACGTGGTCTGACCACGCTGAGGTTTCGATTACCCTGGGAAATCTTTGTGCAGCGTCCCCCTGGACATGGAGGCTCAACGCCTCCTTAATACGAGACCCCATGATCAAAGAACAAGTACATAAGGAGATTGTAGACTTCTTTACCCTTAATGACTCACCTAACGTAGGAGTACCCTCAATTTGGGCAGCACACAAAACAGTAGTGAGAGGAGCCCTTATCCGCCTAGCGACGATTAAGAAAAAGCAAAAAACAAACACCTTAGAGAGACTCATTATTGAACTCAAGACAGCAGAGCAGAGACATCAAACCTGCCCTGATGGGGAGACACTGAGACGGGTCAAGGCTAAGAAACATGACATAAGAACACTGCTCTTAGACAATGTGGCACGATCAATGACATGGTCTAAGCGATCCTTTTATAAAAAAGGTAACAAAATGGACACCCTATTAGCTAGGACTTTACGGCCCCGACAGAGGCATACACATATCACGTCCATAAGACATACAGACGGATCACTAAAAACTACTCCAGGCGAAATAGCGGGAGTCTTTCGCGACTTCTACAAGGCATTGTACAACCACACACCTACGGACGGTCTGAGAGCGGAACAAGAGACGAAACGCATCTACAGATTTCTGACAGATCTAGCTTTACCTAAGCTCTCCCGGGAGGCTAGAGCCCAGCTAGCGGCAGAGACCACTGAGAAGGAAATAGATAGGGCGATCACAGGGCTTAAAGGGAATAAAGCACCTGGGCCGAATGGGTTTGACGGGTCCTCCTACAAGACCTTTCGGGAGGAACTTGTACCCCACTTGCTTAAACTATTTAACAACTTTAGGGAGGGGGGCACACTGAACCCTGACATGGCATTGGCGTCTATTGTATTGCTTCCCAAACCAGACAAGGATCCGCTACTACCTGGTAGCTACAGACCCATATCCCTCATAAATCATGACATGAAGATACTAGCTAAGATACAGGCAGACCGACTTTCCCCACACTTGACTTCTCTAATAGACCCCGACCAAGTTGGCTCCATTCCAGGGAGACAATTATTTTAAAATACACCTAGAAATATAGACCTCATATGGAAACAAACAGTCATGAACACACCTACCCTGGCTGTCTCTATAGACGCTGAAAAAGCCTTTGATAGAGTCAAATGGCATTATATGTTTACAGTGTTGCAACACCTGGGGTTCCCTGCGGAATACCTTACAGTAGTAAAGGCTATGTACAGTAATCTTAGAGCACAAGTTCAGATCTCGGGCGCACCGCCCTCCCCCTTTCCACGCTATAATGGAACTAGGCAGGGATGCCCACTCTCCCCTCTACTTTTTGTCATATCGCTGGAACCCTTTTTACAGGCGCTCAGGATACACCCGGAGGTCCAGGGAGTGAGGGTGGGAGGCAAGGAATTCTTAGTAGCAGCTTACGCTGACGACGTGCTCCTGACGCTCACAAGGCCTAGGGTCTCTGAGGGCGTTGAGTGAGGTCTTAGTAGCGTATGGGGAGATTTCAGGCTTCAAGGCGAAAATGGCAAAATCGAGTGCACTCCCCACAAAAATGCAAGTGGCAGACATAGCCCAGATACACAGGGCGCATCATATAAAGATAGAAACACACTCTCTCAAGTATCTTGGAATTCACTTAACGGCTAACCCAGACAATCTTTACTCTTGCAACTATACACCCTTATGGCACACATTGACAAGAGATATAGAACGGTGGACCGACAAACCAATATCTTGGATAGGGAGAATTCACTCTGTAAAGATGAATATACTACCGAGAGCCCTTTTCCTTTTCCAGGCACTACCGGTCCCCCTGACCAAGGCACAACTTACCTCACTCCGAGTGATAGGTGACTTTGTGTGGCAGCATAAAAAAGACTGCATATCTAGACACGTCCTGTACTGGCCAAAGACGAGGGGTGGGCTCGGCCTTCCTGACTTATTTCACTACTATGTGGTGGCACAATTGGCACAGGTAGCACTATGGCATTCACCCCCTGACGAACGGAAATGGGTGGAATTAGAGTCGCTCATGATGGGGACAGATTTGCCCCAGTTTGCGATGTGGGTTCCCAGGGAACATAGGCCTCTGATTAGGGTCACCTGCCCGGCAATTCTGAATTCCCTTAGGCTGTGGGATTCCTGCGGTCGGAAGTACAGATTGGCAGGATTCCTGTGGTCGGAAGTACAGATTGGCAGTCGGAAGTACAGGGCGTTCACCCCAGGTATGGTGGCAAGGAATTTTAGGAATCTAGAACACGCGGGTCTGCAGAGAATACACCATCTCTACCAGGGCTCTGACATAATTACTTTTGACAAACTCAAACAGGGAAGACACCTTACAACTGCGGACTTCTTCCGATATCTGCAGATTAAGGACTTTGCCAGACAGCCCCACATAAAAGCAATAGCACACAAGACACTGAAGTTTTTTGAATCGATGTGTGACTCGGGAGGTATACCTAGGGGACTCATAACACAACTTTATGCACACTTCTGCTCCGAAACCTGGGAATGGGGAGAGCTGAACAATATTGCACAATGGGAAAGAGACCTGGGTGAGGAAAATGAAGGAGTAGAGTGGCAGGAGATATGGGAGGCTAGCAGAACCACCTCTGTGTGCGTAACATTGCAGGAACAATCCTTTAAAATGATGTTCCGTTGGTATATGACACCAGTCAAGCTATTTAAGATGAACAAAACCACCACGGACAAATGCTGGAGGGGGTGCGGGGAAAAGGGGACTTACCTGCATATGTGGTGGGGGTGTCCAAGAATCACTTGATTTTGGATGGCCATAAAGGACCTTCTGACGCAGGTTTTTTACAGGGCCCCAGACTTAGACCCATGGGTGCATCTCCTGAATAGATCTATAGATGGATGGACGAAAAGGGAGCAAACACTAATTCACAAAATTACCTTAGCCGCAAGGCGAGCGATAGCATACACATGGTTAAAACCAGAAGCACCACACATAGCGAGTGTAATTTCAAGGATTAAAGAGGTACACCTTATGGATGATCTGACTGCTAGAATACGAGGGTCCTCGGGAGCGTTCCATAGACTATGGGAGCCGTGGGACGAGAGTCCGCTGAGCGGCTAGGTCATGCAGCGGGACTTCTGGTATCTTGGGAACTGGCTGGGGGGTTCCGCGGTGATGGGGGTCCTCGGGGTGCCCTTGCGGTCCTCCCCCCTCCCCTTTTCTCTCCCTCCCCTGCGGGTTCCTCCCTTGTGCCTCAACGCCCCATCTAATCTCTTCTCTCCTCTCTTCTACTCTGTTCTCACACACTCCTCCTTTTTGCCACCATGACCCTCTCCTATAGGGTATGGTGTCGAATTTGTATAGGTACAGCTGTCTCTGCATTCGAATTAAGAGATGGAACACACTACGTTATGCCTACGATGTTGACTAAGTTATCGTTGTACCTAGCTTAAAGTTAAAAACCATGTTTAAATGTGCACATGTATCATGCCAAAACAGGGATGTCCCTGTACTATGCTGAGGTATGCAAAGAATTTGCTTTGGCTATGTCAGATTGTGAAGATGTACTGCACAACAAAAATAAAGAATTAAAAAAAAAAAAAAAAACCTTATCTTTAATGTTGGGTTTCATTCCAATTTCACAGAATCAAAGACAAAATGAGTAAAATCTTTTATTACTATAATTATGAAATCAGTGAGACATTTGCATTGCCAAGCGTTTCCAATAATGCTGTAGATCTTTAGTAACATACAGATCAGACCATAACACAAACATTACAGAGTAACAGATCACGTCTCAGACATAGATCCACCAATCAGTTGCAGCAGCTGCAGCTCTCGCATCCCTTTTCACACTGACAGCTCTGGCTGCATTTACTGCACTCGGCCGGACAGCAGGAGCAGCAACCTGTGGGAGAGGAGGGAGAAACAGCAGGTTACTCACTTACCAATATACCTCAATAGTGGTTTCCAAACAAGGGTGGACCCAGAGCCCAATCTCAGGTGGGGCACTATGCCAGATTGGGTTAAGATGAGTTGTGTAGGATAAAGAGACTATTGCAGTTTGTGCATTATTGCAACAACAAAGAAGTTGTGCTTTAGGACTCCAGAGTGTCCCTTTAAACAAACCAGGATTGTGGGAAAAGCAGGAATTGGCAACTGGCCCCCAGCACAAAGTGCAGATTTCTCTGTATGTTCAGCGTTTCAAGCAGGATTGAGGGACAGAGGGATTTGGGACTGAGAGAGTGTGTGTTTCATAATATAACACTAGATGGCAGCACTTACTTTTTGGGCAGCATTTGCACTTCTTACAGCTGCAGGAATTTGCACAGGAGCAGGAGACCCCTAAGAAATGATAGAACAATATGTTATATGCTGTATGCAGTTTCCTGTGTATAGAAGGCAGTGGGCACCTAAGAAAGGAGAGAATAGCAAGTGATATATGATGGGCATCGGATAACAACAAGTAATGGAGGTGGGTTATGAAGGGAGCTCTTGGTATAGCTGAGGCAGTGCTTATTGCCTAATATTATCTGGTGGACTCTATAACAGGATATGGTTCTCCTCAATGATTAATAAACATTCATATATTACCCTCCTTGGCACTAAAGGAGGCATCATACAAGCTGGTCTCATGGATGAAAGAAGTATATTGTTTAGATCACTAAGCTTTATTGTTGTGCTGGGTCTCAGGGTTTATAGAGCGTCATATCCTGACACCTTCCACCTGGAGACCCTGACAGTGTCAGAAAGGAGTGACCTAGAGCAGTGCTTCCCACCCAGGCGCTCTAGATTAGTGGTACCCAACCCAGTCCTTGGGGCAAAACACGAGTCCAGAATGTATGGATTTCCTAATTCTATTCCAATGGGGATTCTAGACCAATAGGATAAGTAGACCATTGGTGAACGAGAACTATATTGGTGCAGTGACACCAGGATTGCTCAACATTTGCAGAGAAAGATTTGGGAAAATATAGATCAGTTAACAAGCAGCTTCAAAGCATTCTCTGCACCCCAAAAAATAAAACCGAACACTGCACTAGCAGTAATTTAACCCTTGAAAAAGGGAAATTGGCAAGCCAGGTAAAAAAATATAGTTATATGGTTGGAGACATCATTATTGTGGTTATAAACTGTGGGAATTATTTGGGATTTAAAGTGAACCAAATCTATCCGTGTACTGCAAAATATATACACAATATACATATATTAGAGTTTAAGTCTAATATAGAGTTCAGGCTCATTATTTGTCAAATAGTTACTATTAAAATAGCAATATCACATTTATTTAAGTATAATTAGTATATTTCGTTTTTGCTAGTTCTGAAATACCTTTTGGATAATCCTACGGAGTATTTATTTTTATTTTTTTATTAACTCATTGTACACAGATTATCGAGGTATGCTCTGGCTATATACAAATAGATTCTATATCCATACCTGTTGCACAGTTACAGTCCTGGGGGTCCATGCTTGTTGCTATAGTAACAGAATCTCAGTGATGCTCTCTGGATGCTCTGTGAAGCTGTATGGAATGCAGGGCTGAGCTGATCCTATATATACCAGAGCTGGGACTGAGTGCAAAACACAGACAAGTGCACAAACACACCCCCTGTACCATGTGACACACACACAGCCACGTGTGTAAAATTCAATAACAAACATTACAAACTGGATTGAGAAAAAAAGTGCAGAGTCCTTGTGTTTCTTTCTTTCTTTAGAGTACCTATTTGAGCTATATGCTTTTATAAAAAGATAGTGTCACTTGAAATGACACTTTTATTTGTACAATTTAGGGTCAGTAATATAGGCTGGGGAATCCATGACCTAGCATTTGTGATCACAAAATATATCCCATGGATTTATTATATATACTACACTAGAATATTTTGTTTGTTTTTACCCTATATGTTCATAAAAAAAAAATCATAGTATCAAGTCCAAATTATTTATATCTGTTTATTAAGGAACACTATAATGTCAGGAATACAAATATGTATTCCTGACACAATCGGTGTAAAACACAATTTAGGCCCACAGCCCCTGCCCCTCAGGTAATCCAATGCTTTCTCACAGGAAAGCATCGGGAGGCTAATGCTCACGCTATGCCAATCAGCATCTCCTCATTGAGATGCATTGAACGTCATGGAGACGCTGAACGTTAGTGCTGCAAATTGTGCATCACTGACGCAGGAAGCACCTAGTAGCTATCTGAGTGACTGCCACTAGAGGTGTTGCAAGGCAGTAATGTAAATACAGCCTTTTCTCTGAAAGGGGAGTGTTTACATTAAAAAGCCTGCAGGGACAGGCTATAGACAGAAGAACTACAGCTTAATGTAGTGGTTTTGGTGTGTATAGTGTCCCTTTAATGATTTCCAGGAATCCTAAACTAGTCTTCTAGCTGTGTTAATATATTTCATTTGATTATTTAATGCAACAATTATATATTTCCACATCAGGGCTTGACAAACTTGTTTCGAATCCAGCCACCTAAAAAGTTAGGTTTTTTTTTGTTAAATTTACATAGCTTTTCACCTTTTTTAATTTTCAACGAAAAAAAAACTTTCTTAAAGAAACACTATAGTCACCAGGACCACTACAGCTTGATGTAGTGGTTCTGGTGTATATAGCCTGTCCCTGCAGGTTTTTCAATGTTAACCCTGCCATTTCAGAGAAAAGACAGTGTTTACATGTATGTCTAGTGACACCTCTAGTGGAAGTCACTCAGACTGCCATTAAAGTGCTTCTTCTCTCATTGCTGCACAGTGTGCTCTGCATGGAGGGGCTGAAGGTTTCCCATATAGATGCACTGATTCAATGCATCCCTATGAGGAGATGCTTGACTGGCACAGCGTTTTGCAGCGCATACGTAATAGCTTAACAATACTTTCCTATGGGCCAATGGAAGAGCATTGAATGAGCTGAGATTAACAAGCTTGAGTATCTCAGGCATGGAGAAGGGACCAGCCCCGGGGAGACCGGCCTGACATGTAAAAAACGGTGAGTAAAAACACCATTCCTAAACAATCGGAGGGGGTAGGCCACCTAAACATACACACTCATTGGCAGACACACACATACCGTGATAGACACACATACCATGACAGACACACACAGTATACACTGACTGAAATACATACCTAATCTGAGAGACACACACTGATAGAAACACAAACATACCCAGACAGACACACACACTGACAGTGACAGAAACGGATACATACACTGACAAATTATATGTTTTAATTCAATGTAAGTCCACTCAACCTCCCTACCTTCTTCGGTAGAGTGGACCAGCTTTCCCTGTGGTCCAGTGGGCCGTAGGCTGGGGTAGAGTGAAGGCAGGCCTCAAGGGAGCTGTAATCTTCCTGCTCTGTTCTTTCACACGCTGCTTAGTGATGCTGGGGCTGGAGTGACGTCATATCTGGCATCACCAAGTGGCGCGCACGAGAGGGAGCAGAGCAGGAAGATCACAGCTCCATCGGTGCCCGACCCAGAGGGAACGTCTCAAAAAATTCCCAGATGCCAGGACAAATTTCCTGGTGCCTGGAATTTGTCGAGCGCTGTTTTTTATCTTTTTATTACCTTATATCATATGTTATCAAACTTGCCACATTGCCTCTTATAATGGAATAAAAATGCAATAATTGCATAGAACCTTTAGGGGCAAGACTGTGATGATAGCAGGAAATATCATTAAAACGTATTATGATACATTTTCATGCTGACACAAGAGTTTTATTTTTATTTGTGTGTGTATATTATCATTTATATGTATTTATTTTATTTAATTGAGCCATAAGATGTCAAGTGACCTATAAATCACTGTTATGTAATCCAGTCTTGGTTAGTCAGTTGTAGAATGTCCCGTCCATCCATTCAGTGGCCTAGTTTAGAGGAATACCCAGCCCAGATCAGTGTTCCACTCAGCTCAGTTGGTGGTTTTTCTGTGAGCACGGCCTATTCAGGAAGATGAGTCACTAGGAGACGTCTGGCTGCATTGTGACATCTCTAAGGGACGTGTGCAAAAGATTCAGCTCTGTCACTGCACTCGTTCTTAGCTCATTCACCTAGCTCACTCAGTCAGCACTCAGCACTAAGAGTCAATTCTGATTCTTTAATTCTGCCTCCGGTACTCACATTTCTTAAACCCTTATCATATAGTGAAAGCATGCATTAGAATAAAATGTATAATCCTCACTTGCTTCACTTCTATAACAACTCAGATTGCATAAATCAATTATTTGTCCTCTCTGAGGTGGCACACTGTACAGGTACAATCAGGTATTAATATTTTGTTTGTGATTGTCTGAGGTGGAAAGGAAAATATGTTTGTAAGACCTTGTCTCTTCAATTCTGAGGATCCCATGGGCACCATCAGGCTGCTATCAGAAATGTTTAAGCCCCTTACACGGCTCAAGCACTGGGCTCCCAGAGCTCACCACTGAGTTGGCCCACTGAGCCCATCCCCAAGTAGTGGATGCAGTGTGGTAGTTTGTGTAGTGGATGCAGAGTGTGTGTTTTTTGGTGTTGGATAAGGGCTGTGGGAGAGTGAGCAGGTTTTTTTGTTTTTAAATGTAAAATTCAGGGGACACTAGTTTCCCCGGTGGTTCGGTTGCACAGCATCTTGTATACTGAAGAGGGGGCCCAGGAGTTACATCTTCCACCTCTGCAGTCAGACAGCAGCTTGGCTCTCCTTCTCTTGCGAGCCTGGCCATTGTGACCCGCAGCAATGTTCTGACAGCAGAGAGGACCCTGACGGAGATATATACATACATACACATATATGAATGTGTGTATATGTGCACACAGGTACTGCAGCACTATGTGTTGCAGGGGTAACTCAAACAACAGGCTGGAATGCAAACGTCACTCCCTTCTAGGCCTTCAGCATGCTTGTACCTGGCAGAGTGAGCTGGGGTTTGAGCCGGCTGTACACACTGTCCTCATCAGCTTGGTAAGTATTTACTTTAATTACGGTAAGGGTATATAATCCATGTCTGTTCATTAGTGTATGTTTATTGTCCTGATGAAAGCTCTGTTGGAAGCTGAAACGTTGAGATTTTATTGGATCATGTAAATAAAAGCTAAGTTTTATATTTTGTAATACTAAGTCCCTGGAGTGCGGTTTTTCCTTGTTTTTTTGAACAATTTTTGCCAAACCGGCAGCGGGCTTTATTGGCTATAACCAGGAGTGCACGTTTTTGGACTTTATGTGCATATAAATATGTGTGTGTGTGTGTGTAGTACATATACATGCACATTGGGACTATAGGGCCTAATGTGCATATATAAACCAGTATTATTAGAAAAACGGCTTCATTAGTCTTCCCCCATTGTTCAGAGGTTGTCCATTTTTCTGGGGGAGCTAGTAATCTATTGTGGGAAGTTACCTTGGACTTGTTGAATATGATGTTTGTTTCATTGAGGACCCATTAAAATAACATGGGGACCTCTTTTAATCTCCACTCACAGTGCCTTAAGACTTACACCTGCTGCATTTTCCATAAGTACCTAAAATGTGGAACAATATTTAACCCCTTAAGGACACATGACATTTGTGACATGCCATGATTCCCTTTTAGTCCAGAAGTTTGATCCTTAAGGGGTTAATATGCATAGATGAAAGCGCATTCATAATTTTGTATTAAATATTTTATATCAATACTTACAGCATATTTGCATTTATGTATTAGTCTGTAGATGGCTGGGTCCATATTGCTTTCCATGGGTGTTTTTCTTTGATAATTTTAAGAGTATATTTTTTCAAGCGAGGACAGTGTTTTAGGAAAGCTTGAATCACTTCAGGTCCTACTAAAAAGTAGCAATGAATTTCTTCCAATCCACCACACTTTGTAGCCAAATCAATAAGAGCAGAGTCTAGGTTACTGGATGAGGTGGTGCGTATAACTAGCTTATTTAGAGTGCGCCAGTAGTGGTTGGTGACAAATCTAATTTGGTTCACCATTTCGTTGAAGGTGTTGAGTTGTAAGGTTGACACAGGAATATTTGGTTGTAAGGTTTGAAGGATTTTCTCAGCAGGGATAGTGTGATCAAGTTCTAGGTCCACACGAAGGGTGGGATGACGTAGAAAAAGCTCACCCCATGCTTCATCAGATATGGAATGTGTGTATTTATCCAACCTTTCACACAAAATATCCAGGCGCATAAGTGGTGGCCTGCATGGTTTCATAAATTCATGGAAAACCTCTTCAGTCAACCTGGAACAAAAGGTGCCTAGGACAGAGAGTTTGGGGCAAAACTCTAAAACTGCTTTCAACGTTTCAGAGGTTACTTTACAAACTAATGTGCCGTTGTTTATGTACAAACTATGTAGATTTGGGCTCCCTCGAGCAATAAGTCTTACAAAACCATCACTAAGTGTAAAAGGGAACTTTCGTAGATCAATGTGTTGGAGGTCAACAGGACTTTCCTTCCGACAAAGGTTCATGATGCTTCCCAAAATTTCCTGCCCCGAATAAAATAAAGGGTGTTCTCCACTGCATTCAATAGTCAGGCTTTGCAATTTGTTTTTCTCTTTGGCCAGACAATCTATAATATTTATTACATTATTGCGATTTGCTTCTTTGGATTGGTCAAAAACAATCTTTAGTTGTTGTATCTGGACCAGAAAGTGCTCTAATCCATCGAGTGTTAGCAACTCTTCTTCCGACACCCAGCTATAACCAAAAGGAAAGGGACATAAGCTCCATTAGTCTTTGCATTCATTGTACTCTTAACCAGTACTTATGTTTAGTTATATTGACTGAATCCTTCAGAGAACAATTACTTAGCTAAATGCTAAAAATGTGTATGTTTCTTTCTCTGTGCCAAATAATTTTAGTGAGACTGGTGTGGTAATTCTTGATTTGTATTTTTTTCTTGCAATCTCAATCTTTATTTAAAAAAACAAAATGGGGTAATTGGGTGGTAGCCATGTTGTTTTAACAACTAACTAGAAAGTAAATACCCTATGTGCCCAGTGGCGTATTAAGGGGAGGGCTGGGGTGCGGTCCGCCCCAGGTGCCACAAGGTAGGGGGGTGCCACCAGTGCTGGCCAGGCTTGGGGAGGTGTGAGCTGTGTGGCTGCACAGGATGCCGGACAGCCGACACAGCTCACACACGCAGGGGCCGAGAGCAGGAGAACTGCACGGAGAGTTGGGGCAGAGCCAAATCGGCCATGGGGGGAGCCAAATCGTCAGCGGGGCACAAAAAAGGCTGTCTCCACCCACTGCTGCTGCACACAGAGGGGAAGCAGGAAGGATTCCCCGATTCCCCAACACCTACAGACCAGGGACTTCACTGACTCCACTCTTCCACCAGTGAGAGAGAGAGAGAGAGAGAGAGAGAGAGAGAGTGTGTGCTGTGTTTGTGTGTGTGTGTGTAACTGTGACCGTATATGTGACTGTCTGCATGTCACTGAGTGTGAATGACTATCTGCCTGTGACTGTGTGATGCTGCCTGTAACTGTGTTAGTCTGCCTGAAATTGTGTGTATTACTGCCTATAACTGTGTGTGTGTGTGTGTGTGTGTGTGACTGCCTGTCTGTAGCTGTGTGTGTAACTGTGTGTGACTGTCTGTCTGTAACTGTGTGTTTGACTGTGTGCGAGTAACTATGTGCATGTGGCTGTATTTGACAGTATATGTGTATAACTGTGCATCTGACTGTGTCTGACTGTCTTCACCCTGCAGTGAGCCAGCAGCTGGGACATGAAGTCATCCCGGCATCGGCGTCATTACAGTCCATGCAAGGGGCTGTGCAGGACTAGCACAGAGATCCCAGCAGCAACCACTGACCACCAGCCCTCCCAGAACAAGGTAGGAAGGTTGGGTGGACCTCTTATTAAATGTGTGTATGTATGTGATGAGTGTGTGTGTACATCTAATTATGTGTATGTTATGGTGTGTCTGTGGTTGTATGTGTGTGGGTCTGAGCCGCGGGTGCCAAATGCTCTAGGTACGCCCCTGTATGTGCCACTGTTACAAAAGGCCTTCTCACAATAACTGAAAATGTTTCTTTGCAAATTAAGGCTCAAAGAATTGTCAAATAATGTAGCACTCAGATGTTGTAGTTTGGTGGTAGTTCACCCAAAAGACTTACAGTTGTTATTTTAGCTACATTTTTTGGTTTGTTTGTTTCTTTTTCTTTTTTTACCATTACCTTGGTGGGATGAAAATCTGTACAATGGGGGCGGGGCCGGACCGCCGACGGGATCAGACGTGTTTAGTCTGAGCTCCTGCCTTGGAGCCCGAAAATCGGCGCAAACTGGAGGCTGAAACTCCCCAACCACCCGTAACACAGACCACAATGCTCCCCAGAACATGGGCTACGAGGCGATACCTTCCAGACTCTGCCCGGCACCTACAGTAACCCGACGAAGGCCCGAGGCATGCTGGAGCTTGAGCCGGGAAGAGACGGCCGCTCTCCCGGGTCTCCGGCCGGCGTCTGGCGCCCCCCCCCCTCTGGACCGGGGGGGTCATCCCGGTCTGCACAAGCAACTACTGTCATGCCAAGCTGGGATGTAAGCTACCATTCTGCTGCGGCACACTCTCAAGCGGCAATCCTCCAAGATGGCTGCCGCACGCCAGCCGCATGTGCGACCTGCCAGCAAGATGGCGCCTGCTGCAGAGGCAGCCATCAAATGCCATCTGACCACCACGGAAACCTGCCCCAGAGAAGCGTCGGCGGACCAAAGGGAAGCCTACATCATATAATTTGGTTTAAAAAGGAATACCTCTGTACCTGGGGAGGACATCATCATGCAAGGGGGGCCCACCTGATACGCCCGGGAAGCAACACCAATGGCTGCACTTATATCCAGGACTTTCCTGTGAGGCGCAACGCACCCATCTGAGCAAGCAGCCGGACAGCACCAGGCATGGGATACACAAACAAACGCTGGTCCCCTAATGCACAGTCCAACCTGAATATGTTCCATACTCTTGAACACTCGGGACCTTATATGCTCCCATCTACAGGAATGACCCAGTGGCAATCTTAGCTCACCTTGCAAAACTCATTTTTATGTCTTGATTTAATGCACACCGCTATATATGCTTATTTAACCCTTGTAAAATGTGTTTGCAGAGCAGATTTGTTGTTCTGGATTAAGCTTACGTAACATATACCTAGCTTGAGATGAATATCTATTGTAAAATAAGGCAGAACCGTTTGAATACACATCTCATTAATTTTATACATAACATGTATAACCTGTGATGCACGCAGACTAGTTTAAACACTGTCCTAGCCTAATTAAAGTGTAACACTACTCACACGAACTGATTTGTATAAGCTAACAATAATATAAAAAATGTGCCTTGTAAGCAAATGCCCCGCATGTTTTGCGAGAAAAAGCCTGAGGATTGCTCTCGGGGCACCTCATGCCTGCTTGTAATGTTTTCTGTGCACTTCAAAAAAAAAAAATTTAAAAAAAAAAAGGAAAATCTGTACAATATGCATTGATGAATTATTTAAATGTATTTATATGGTTAGTCATGTTGTAAATAAAATGGTAAAAATGACAGTAAAATTAATGTAAAAGAAATATATGAATAAACTGTATTATATGAGGTAAAGATGTGTTAAATGAACACTCCAAGAACCTTAACCAATATAGCCGGCTATATTGGTTATGGTGCCAAATGCCTTTGCACCCTCCCAAGAGTAAGTAGTCAAACCGTTTAAAGAATAGTTTGACAACCTATCTGGTCCCTCAGGCCGCCTGTTCCACATCCAGCTTTTTCTGCAACCTGTCTCCCCACAGCTAAGCACAGCCCGACATAGGGCCATGCTCACTGGCTGAATATCTGAGCCAACGAGAGCGGCCTTGCTTAGCTCAGTGGAAGAATGGCTGTAGTGATAGGTACCAGGGGAGACCCAGGAAAGTTGTCAATTTGTTCTTAATTGGTTTGCAGAGGGTGCTATAGTAGTTCTGGATTCATAACCACTACATCAAAATGAAATGGTTATGGTGCTCGGAGTCTTCATTCAGTGAATATCCTTATGTACAGGTGATACTCAAAAAATTAGAATATCGTGCAAAAGTTTATTCATTTCAGTAATGCAACGTAAAAGGGGAAACTAATATACGAGATAGACGCATTACATGCAAAGCAAGATAGTTAAAGCCGTGATTTGTCATAAGTGCGATGATTATGGCTTACAGCTCGTGAAAACCCCAAATCCACAATCTCAGTAAATTAGAATATTACATGCAATCAATAAAACAAGGAGTGATCTTTGCTAACTGGCCAGCCCCGATCACATTGTAATCGGTTGGAAAGTAGGCTCCATTCATAATTCTATAGAAAGTACTTAAAGGGATTCTCTAGTGCTTTCCTGGCACTGCAGGAAACTCTAGTGCCCCTCTGCCTCCCACCCCAAGTTGCTGAAGGGGTTAAAACCCCTCTAGTGACTTACCAGAGTCCATCGCCTACTTTCCTCCCCCCGCGGGGCACTCGCATTAGACCTCCCCTTAGGAAAGCATTATACAATGCTTTCCTATGGGAATTTCGGCAACGCTGGAAGTCCTCACATAGCGTGAGGACGTCCAGCGTAGTTTTAAAACACTTTTCATGTTCTATGAACACAGAAGTCCCTCTAGTGGCTGTTTAGTAGACAGCCACTAGAGGAAGGCTTAACCCTGCAATGTAAATATTGCAGTTTATGAAAACTGCAATAATTACACTTGCAGGGTTAAGGGTAGTGGGAGTTGGCACCCAGACCACTCCAATGGGCAGAAGTGGTCTGGGTGCCTGAAGTGTCCCTTTAAGAAAACGGTGAGTAGATGGCAGTCATATTAATAGATATCAGAATTGCAGAAACTTTCCTTAGGGTATTGATAGGGTTACTGTTACGGTAGGGTTAACTGTAGGGTTAATTAGTGTAAGGAATGGGTTAAAGCTATTTAGGGTTGTGGATAGTGTGGAATTTCGGCAACGCTGGAAGTCCTCACATAGCGTGAGGACGTCCAGCGTCGTTTTAAAACACTTTTCATGTTCTATGAACACAGAAGTCCCTCTAGTGGCTGTCTAGTAGACAGCCACTAGAGGAAGGCTTAACCCTGCAAGGACCAAACTTCTGGAATAAAAGGGAATCATGACATGTCACACATGTCATGTGTCCTTAAAGGACCACTATAGTGCCAGGAAAGCATACTTGTTTTCCTGGCACTATAGTGCCCTGAGGGTGCCCCCACCCTCAGGGACCCCCTCCCGCCGCCTCAGATCCTCCTCCTCTCCTCCCTTTCGGCTGGCTGCGCGCGCATTCAGCCGGTCTCATAGGAAAGCATTTACAATGCTTTCCTATGGACGCTTGCGTGTTCTCACTGTGATTTTCACAGTGAGAATCACGCAAGCGCCTCTAGCGGCTGTCAATGAGACAGCCACTAGAGGATTTGAGGGCTGGATTAACCAATTTATAAACATAGCAGTTTCTCTGAAACTGCTATGTTTATAAAAAAAAAAAAAAAGGGTTAACCCTAGCTGGACCAGGCACCCAGACCACTTCATTAAGCTGAAGTGGTCTGGGTGCCTAGAGTGGTCCTTTAAGGGGTTAAGTTATGGTGGAACAAACACATTTTTCAAGGTTTTCTTTAGGTTCTTACAATTAAAATTACCTCTATCCTTAAAGATTTAAAGGTACTTTATTAAAAACAAGAGTTAAAGCAGTGGAATTCATTTAAGTGAATGGGTTGAGTGAACCTTCTTTATAGGGGGGAAGAAAACAAACAACCAAAGCTGAAAAACTACAAGACAAGTAAAACAAGCACAATAGTAGTGAGAATAAATTCAAATAAACTACTTATCGGTATATATATCCGTGACCAGAGACTGGGACATCCACTCATTTCAGCTCATGGCTTGCTTTGAATGGTCCCAAGTTATAACTATTACAGTGTTGAGGAACAAAGCTAATACATACCTAATCTCTGTGTAGTGCCAAACTGTGGAAGATGCCACTCCACATGCCCAGGACTGGCACACCTGGGATACTGTCCGTCTGTCTCCTAGAGGTAGGTAGTAAAAGATTTGTGCAAGGATTTCTTGAGGCATGTCCTCCCATTGTGTAGACATTGTATCTTCTCCACGGGAACAAACTGACCCTGTATTAGGGGTTAGAACAGAATATTTAGAAATAGGTGAGATTTACAATCGGGAATAGAGCTGTCGTCATGCCTTTGGTAAATAAAGTGTGGGAGGAGATACCGTACAGGTCAGTTTTATGGTTCAGTCGACTTTGTACTTGAAAATGAAAGGTGTTGCTGCAATATTGAACGCCTGCTTTTAGAACTTTGACGATGGCTGCAGCTTCCTGATTAATTGTTGCGGGAGAAATTAATGCAAACCTTTAGACTGTAAGCGCCCTTGGGCAGGACTCAACCTCAATACTATGCTATCAATATTTTAAACTATTGCATGCTGCTTATTCAACTATACTGTACTGTGGTCTTTGTTGGAGATATATAAATAATTATACATTTTTGATAATAGATATGCCTTTTTTGTGCCTAATATGAGTATTTCTTAAAACATATGTATTTTATCCTTCCAATCTCATTCTCCGTGGTGGATCTACACCGGGGCCCATGAGCTGAGGAGAGCCCATCAGGTGGTCTACACCCTTAGAGGCACCTGATGGCCATATTTGATAATGGGCACGCTCAGGAGCAGAGGCCGTTTAACAGCTGACAATGCTTACTGTTCTAGGTGAAGCTGCAGTGCTATCAGGTAGTGAGTACAAGTCACTTCCTCCCAGCCTAGCAATGAGTTGTGTAGCAGAGGGAGAGAGGGGAGGGCCAAACTCCCATCAGTCACAGCCAGATGCTACTGGACTGAGCAGTACCAGGACAGGACTGCAGGCTCTCCTGTGGCTGCTGATTCAGTGATTGGCTATAACGCAATAAGCCTAGAGTTGACTTTTTAATATTATTCTATTGCAGTATGTTTTTTTTTTTGTTTATGTTTATGTCTATTTTTCTGGGCTGATGGCTGGTGTTATTCTCTGGCACTGCAACTTCTCTACAGGTATGAAGTGTATCTTATTTACTCCGTTGTTGTGCCTACCTGTTCTTCTGCGATGCATACAACTACCGTATTTTCCGGCGTATAAGACGACCCCCAACTTTTCCAGTTAAAATATAGAGTTTGGGATATACTCGCCGTATAAGACTACCCCTCTTCCAATGCACACCAAATAAAAATTAGCCATGATGTACAGTGAGCAGACAGAGCTACACAGCAAGACATTAAATAATGATAATCTGAAATAGCATTTAAAATCCAGGTATGTGCCAGGCTGTTTGGGCATATAATCCATGCCTGCTGGTCTAGCACACAGGAGGCTAATTGCGATATATTCTTTTTACTCCCCCCATTCTTTTTTAATCCCCCCCTCCATTCTTTTTAATCCCCATAACTGGTCCATATCTCCTAGTGAACTGGTCCATATCTCTGTATCACCCCCTTAACTGGTTTATCTCTCTGTATCTACCCCTAAACTGGTCCACATCTTCGTATTTTTTAATCCCCCCCTCCATTTTCTTTTACTCCCCCCAATTTTTTCCCCCTCTATTTTTTTACTCCTCCCTCTCTTCTCACCTCCCCTTCCCTGTGCAGAGTGGGTGGCCGAGCTCCTCTTCGTCCTGTCAGTCCGGCCGGGTACCGCGCGGTACAGGAGATTCAGTTACCTGTTCCCGGCCTGACTGAAAGGAAGTGAGCACTCAGTGGGGGCTAAAATGCCCAAAATGTGACTACATTGGAGTTGGAAATTTGTTTTATTCTTATTTATTTTTTTGTAAAAAAAAAATAAATATATATTTTTATTTTAAATCAGTAGCATTCAACATACAATCCAGTATTTCCGAAAATTATAGTAATACAATCCAGTTTATGCTACCTTAGAGCCGCATGTGCATTAAGAAGCAACCTAAAACATTAACATACATAAGTCATAGGTAAAACACAGTCAATATCGTCTGGGGTTACTGTATCTCTCGTGCAGAGAAAGCCAGCCTGCATTTTGGATCTGTTCCACCTTTGTGGCCCTGGAACTTTTTGTAATGGCACAATATGAGCTAAAAGCAGTTTGAGATGGGACCTGCCGAAGGGCAGGTTATTTGAGCTGTTGTCTGTTCTCAGTACTCTCTAACACCCTGTTTTTTGCGCTCTCTAAATTTAAAGGGTAATCCAGACGTGGTCCCCTTGCTTACGGTGCCTAGAGAGATTGTGACTATACCTCATTGACAATGCCTAACAAGGTTCAAACAATCGTCTGGGGTTGCTGTCGCTCTCGTGCAGAGAGAGCTGGCCTGCATTTTGGATTTGTTCTGCCCTTATGGATGGGATCAGTCTGATATGTGAATGGCCCTGGTTCTTTTTGTAACGGCACAAGATGAGCTACAACCAGCTTGAGATCTGAGCGGGGACGCATTCAAGGGCAGATTATTTGAGATGTTGTCCGTTCTCAGTATTCTCTTGCACCCTGTTTTTTGAATATCATGTAGGAAAATAAACGGCTACCTTCCCCATTTAGGAGTAAGGCTTGCAAGTGTAGCTCTGAGTTGGAGATTTACTTTATTGCCTTTGCCTATTTTTTTCCCACTGTTCCCTACTGTTTGATTAACCCCTTAAGGACACGACATGTGTGACATGTCATGATTCCCTTTTATTCCAGAAGTTTGGTCCTTAAGGGGTTAAACACCAGAAGAAAAGCAAGCATCTTGAGTGCCAAGGTTATCCATTATGTACTAAACAGTGAGTGTAGGTGAGTTGACACCCTGGTTTCATTATGTAGGTTGACATTGCAGAGGCAGAGAATTATTTTTTCTAACTCTGCTATTGTGTAATAATCATTTCAACTCACTGTCAACTTACTGTTTAGTGAATAAATCCCTGTTTTTTATGTTCTACTTATCTCATACTTCAGAATTGAGGCATGTAGGCGTAGCCTGTAACTGATCATAAAGTATGGATGTAGTCCATACTGTTCTATATGGTGCCAAATTATCCCCTCCCTTCTATACTTACCACGATACAAGTATCAGCAATATCTTCCTGAAACAAAGATTTTCTACCCTCCCACATACAGGGATTGGCTATTAGGGGTCATGTGACCGGAGCCTTTTAAATACTGAACTGCAGCTTGGAATCCAGAGACATTTCTGCCGTGAGTCATGTAAGATAGCAGGAGGAGAGCGGCCAATACTTACTGGCTGCTTTATCCAGGGTGTTCTGTGTTTTAGATTCTGGGGGGTTTTTTTGGCTGTTTTTCATGATTGGTGGGAAGGTATATAAACTTTGATATATATTTGTGCCCATTATACATACTGCAGGAGTTTTTTTAAATATACAGATTTAAAGGGACACTATAGTCACCAGAACAACTCCAGCTTATTGTATTTGTTCTGGTGAGTAGAATCATTATATGCAGGCTTTCTGCAGTAAACAGTGTTTTGTCCACAGAAAATGCAGTGTTTACATTACAGCCTAGGGAAACTTTCACTGGCCACTCCTCAGATGGCTACTGGAGGTGCTTCCTGGGGAAGTGCTGACATCATTAAGTCTAGCAAATTACATTCTAAACTTCAAAATAAAAAAAAAAGCTGAAATAATTTAAAACTTGGCCCTCAGCTGAGCTGGACAATCTTTTAATATAATTAAATATTGTACTCTATATTTTACTATTTGTAGATCAACCCAAAACAATTCAGAGTTTAGTGAATACACGACCATGTGACTAAGTTGCAGCCACTAGTCGGATACTTTGTGGCTGTTGATCTATTTATGACCATTTGTGACCAAAATCCTATTTTTCATCACAGGTAGGTGGTTTGGCCTTAGTAGATCACTAGCTTGTTATAAATGGAGTAGTTGAACCTCTCATATTTCGGAGATATGGGAGACTAATGCCAAATCTACTTGTCCCAACAGTCAAAATAGAGTCACAGGCCTAGTGTGCCCTCCATAGAGTTATATACGTGCTGGCTGTGTGTAGTATTTATGGAATGTGTGTTTGCACCTGCTGTGTGCAGTGTGTGGTAGCTGCAGTGCTTTGTGTATTGCTTTTCTTTCTGCAGGGAGTGGTTTTAAAGTCCCCTGGCTGTCTGCAACTCCAGTGGGTGCAGACCACACTAATTTCATGGGGGCAAGTTGGGAATAATGGCGGATGTGCCCTGATCCACTAGTGAGCTGGGACCACAAGATTTATATGGTCTGCACCACTTACATTCCCGCTCTGGCCCTGGCCTTCTAAGGCCTTTCTGTAGCAGTCCAGCCACTTACCTGCTGCACTGCTAAAGGGATAAAAAAAACAAAAAAAACAAAAACCTGGCACCAGGACTATATGCTGCAAGCGTTGAGAAACAGAAATTCCACACCCCTTGTTTTTGGAAATAGGAGTATATAGTTGATACAAACACAAGATTATTTACTAACATTTCAATTGTCTGAAAATCAAAGTGAAAGAAAAGGTTTATATTTTAGCACGATATTTAGCATACCACAATACAAAAATAAAGTGGCTCGATCCTCATTTTCCTACAGAGCACCGCAATTATAGAATAACCTCAGGGACACAGTCAAAGCTTCATTCAATCTAAAATCTTTTAAGAGATCTATGGCAACATACCTCAGCACAAAATGCACCTGTCATGGTTGAATATATTTATCACCTACTTTGTTACATTTATTTATATATATATATATATATATATATATAAAATGTGAAACCAGGTTGCTGCACTTACATGAACATGCATAAATGGGGTGTTGCTGGGAGCCGATTTATACAAGACACAAGATTCAGCGCACTCCCTTATATACTAAACAGCAACTTCAATGTTGATAGATTTTATTAGTTTTTTTTTTTTTTAAAACACCTAATCTAGGCAAAAATAATGGGGGGTTTAGTTACATTATGATCATACATTGCATAATGTACCTCATGTTTGGCAGGTCCTACTCTAACAGCTTAATGTCTGCTCTTATGCGATAAATCCACTTACTTGGGGGAACAATTCCATCTGGGACTCTCTGCAGTACAAGGCTAAATAGGGGACTGTGATGAGGCACCTGTGACAGGGAAGGGTGCAAAACCAAGGCGTTGGTATATATATATATATATATGAAACCAGGGAGCTGCACACACCTGAACATGCATAAATGGGGTGCTCCTGTGGGCCAATTTATACAATACACAAGATCCAGCTCACTCACTTATCTACTAAACAGCAACTTCAATGTTGACAGATTTTATTAGTTAAAAAAAACTAATCTAGGCAAAAATAACGGGGGTTTAGTTACATTATATCAGGGGTTCTCAACGTTAGTCCTCAGGACCCCCTGCCAGTCCAGGGTTTAGGGATTACCTGGGTGTGTCTAAGGTGTTTAGAAAAAGAAAAAAAAAACACCTTAGTCTAAGGTGTTTTTTCCCCTTTTTCTAAACACCTGAGAGACACACAGGTAATCCCCAAATCCTGGACTGGTAGGGGGTCCTGAGGACTGGGTTGAGAACCCCTGCATTATATGATCATACATTGCATAAGCCTGCCACAATGTCAATGTACCCCATCTTTGGCAGGTCCTACTCTACCAGCCTAAAGTCTGCTCTGGCCCCCAGCAGCACCCCATTTATACATGTTCAGGTGAGTGCATCCCACTGGTTTCATTTTTATATATATATATATATATATATATATATATATATATATATATTTGGGAGTCTACCCAACTCCTTGGTTTTGCACTTCTCCCTGTCACAGGTGCCTCATCCCAGGGCCCTATTTAGCCTTGTACTGCAGAGAACCCCAGATGGAACCCAAGTAAGTGGGTTTATCTCATAAGAGCAGACATTAGGCTGTTAGAGTAGGACCTGCCAAAGATGGGGTACATTGACGTTGTGGCAGGCTTATGCAATGTATGATCATATAATGCAACTAAACCCCCATTATTTTTGCCTAGATTAGGTGTTTAAAAAAGAATGAAAATAAAAATCTGTCAACATTGAAGTTGCTGTTTAGTGGATAGGTGAGTGCGCTGGATCTTGTGTAATATATATTTGTATATTGTATTTTTTGTAATATTGTATCCTATTGTGACAATTCAATGTTTTGTGGACCCAGGACATGAAAACGAGAGAAATCTCAATGTATCTATCCTGGTAAAATATTTTATAAATCATTTAACTTTGAGTGCCCAAAAAACACACTTTAGTAAATTCCTTTGCATTCTCTGATGCGAATGAGCATTAACTGTACAGCCCAGGTAGAAAAGAAAAAAATGTGCTAAAAGAAAAGCTCCAATATGATCTTTTTTCCAAATTTTTTTTAACCCTACATATTCATTTGCATCACAATTATTGGAGGAGGATAGTTGTCCCCAGGTGCAAGGCTGGCAGCTCCAGCTAATCACCGTTATCTCTGCGCTAAGTGGGGCAGAGAGGCTCCAAAAGACACCATGACTAATTCCTTTTAATTATTGTACCAATCAAGAGGCTGGAACCAGAGCTAGCTGTCCATAGTCACCATTAGTGATCTAGAGCAGCCAGATTGAGAGTTGCATCACAAGCACATGTACACACACATTTCTCAAGCCTCTAATTAAAAATTAAATGAAAGCACAAGTTTAAATGTGATACAAATTGTTGTGTGTGTGTATATATACACACCTATAGAATAATTGTGTGTATGCGTAGCCCCAGCCCTCACTCTTCTCCTGGTCAATCCTCCCCTTGTTCAGTCTGAGGGGGCAGGACCATTCACAGATCACTGTGTTCTGTTTACATTTTTCAATAAACACACCTCTAGTGGATGTCAGACAGACTGTAAAGTCACTTCCTTTTATAAACCATTACTTTTAAAAATGTTTACTATTAGAGAGTTCCTTCCAATTTCACAAAATCAAAGGCAAAATTATTTGTCTATTACTATATTTATTATGAAATCAGTGAGACATTTGCATTGCCAAGCGTTTCCAATAATGCTGTAGATCTTTAGTAACATACAGATCAGACCATACACAGATATTACAGAGTAACAGATCAGGTCTCAGACACGGATCCATCAATCAGTTGCAGCAGCTGCAGCTCTCGCATCCCTTTTCACACTGACAGCCCTGGCTGCATTTACTGCATTCGGCTGGACAGCAGGGGCAGCAACCTGTGGGAGAGGAGGGAGAAACAGCAGGTTAGTCACTTACCAATATACCTCAATAGTGGTTTCCAAACAAGGGTGGACCCAGAGCCCAATCTCAGGTGGGGCACTATGCCAGATTGGTTTGAGATGAGTCATGTAGGATAAATAGACTATTGCAGTTTGTGCATTATTGCAACAACAAAGAAGTTGTGCTTCAGGACTCCTGAGTGTCCCTTTAAACAAACCAGGACGGTGGGAAAAGCAGGAATTCGCAACTGTCCCCACCCAGCACAAAGTATCAATTTCTTGGTATGTGCAGCATTTCAAGCAGAAAAGAGGGACAAAGGGATTTGGAATAAATATTTTTACGCACCACCCCCCAATTTATTTTTTTAATATATCTTTTATCTCATGAAATAATTATCCCCTTGATATAAGAGTGTGTGTATCATACTATAACACTAGATGGCAGCACTTACTTTTTGGGCAGCATTTGCACTTCTTACAGCTGCAGGAATTTGCACAGGAGCAGGAGACCCCTAAGAAATGATAGAACAATATGTTATATGCTGTATCCTAAGAAAGGAGAGAAGAGTAAGTGATATATGATGGGCTTTTGAAGGGAGCTGTTGTTATACCTGATAAGAGTGCTAATTGCCTAATATTCTGTGGTGGACTCTATAACAGGATATGGTTCTCCTCAATGATTTATAAACTTTAATAAACATTCATATATTACCCTCATTGGCACTAGAGGAGGCATCATACAAGCTGGCCTCATGGATGAAGGAAGTAAAATGTTTCAATCACTGAGCTTTATTGTTGTGCTGGGTCTCAGGATTTATAGAGCGTCATATCATGACACCTTCCATCTGGAGACCCTGACCGTGTTAGAAAGGAGTGACCTAGAGCAGTGCTTCCCACCCAGGCGCTCTAGATTAGTGGTACCCAGCCCAGTCCTTGGGGTACACCAACAGTGCAGAATGAAAGGATTTCCCAATTTTATTCCAATGTGGATTCTAGACCAATAGGGTAAGTAGACCATTGGTGAGTGAGAACCGTATTAGTGCAGTAAAACCAGGATTGCTCAACATTTACAGAGAAAGATTTGGGAAAATATAGTTCAGTTAGTCAGCAGCTTCAACCCATTCTCTACACCCCTTAAAAATAAATCAGGACACTGCACTAGCACTGATTTAACCTGTGAAAAGATAGTGAATTTGTCAAGCCAACTAAAAAAAAAAGATAGTTATTAGTGTGGGAATTATTTGGGATTGAAAGTGAACGATACCTATCTGTGCACTGCAAAATATATACACAATATACATATATATTAGAGTTATAGTCTAATGTAGAGTTCAGGCTCATGCTTTGTCAAATAGTTACTATTAAAAAGTGATATTAGTTTAAGTATAATTTTAGTAAAATATATAAAAATTTGGCTGAAAGTACTTTTTGATAATGCTGTTCAAGTTTTTTTGATTAACACATTGTACACAGATTATCGAAGTATGCTCTGGTTATATACAAATAGTTTCTCTATCCATACCTGTTGCACAATTACAGTCCTGGGGGTCCATGCTTGTTGCTATAGTAACAGAATCTCAGTGATGCTCTGTGAAGCTGTATGGAATGCAGGGCTGAGCTGATCCTATATATACCAGAGCTGGGACTGAGTGCAAAACACAGACAAGTGCACAAACACACCCCCGGTACCATGTGACACACACACAGCCACGTGTGTAAAATTCAATAACAAACATTACAAACTGGATTGAGAAAAAAAGTGCAGAGTCACACAGAATGAGTCGCCAATATTCACTAAGTCCCTTATGAGGTAGGGGGACATTGTATTATATGGAAAAAAAAGTGTTTGTGCCTTATGTGGAGAAAAGTAGCTAAAGTAATTGAGTTTATTTATGGACATGTAATAGTAATTAAAACATGCATTATTCTGGCAACAGTGTGTCCCCTCTGGGTGAGTGTTGTGTGTCTTTTTGTGATGTGATGAATTGGGGCAGACACATGGGGTGTATGGGATTTTGTGCGTGATTCTAGTGTTCTTACAGGGATGGAGGGAACAAGGAGTGTGCCCTTGGCCACCCTAATGCAGAACTGATTTGTATCCCCTTCTCCCACATATAGGTCTTACCCTATTTTTGAGTCAATTTTGGTCTCTGATTACCCCATCGAAGATGAGCACCATGAAAACTGATTGCTTATCAGTAAAACAAAGGTTTTTAATATTTTGTGGCAAATTTTTACTTTGTATTTATTATTCAAAGATTAAATTTTAAAAACTTTGTGAGGTGAATAAAAATGGTTTTTATTATGACTGAGTAATCAATGTTCATCTTTCAGGAAAAAGAAAAACGTGGGTGCATATCAAAATGCTGTGACTGGGCTGAATAAAGGTGTGTATAATTTAGGTGTATAGTGTGCAGAGATAAACCGTTTCAAATAGTGTTTGTTGTCCCCGTAAAGTGAAATTGAATAAATCCCTATTTTTATTTCTTCCTATAGAGAACCTATTTGAGCTATATAAAATGCACTTTAAATTGTACTACTTAGTACCTGTAATTTCGACTGGGGAAACTATAACTTGGCATTTGTTGTCACAAAATATATCCCATGTATGTATTATTTATACTACACTATAATATTTAATGTTTGGTTTTAACCTATATGTTCATAAAACAATTAAAGCATCAAGCCAAAATAATATTTAACTGTTATTAATGATTTGCAGGAATACCAAATGAGTCTTCTAGCTGTGTCAATATATCTTATTTGATTATTTAGCACAAAAATTATATATTTCTACATCACTTCACCTCCTTAAAGACCATAATCTTATCATATTTGCTCTAGTCCATTCAAAAAAATGACCTAGCAGCTGATTGACCTTTCATTGCCACATTTGATTCCTCCCCTATTATTTGTTGTCAAACTTGCCACTTGCCCTTACATTGCCTTCTATAATAGAATAAACATGTTATAATCACATCAGACATTTGGTGGCCAAACTGTGATGATCACAGAAAATATCTTTGGTCGTTACGAAGTTTTAAGGTTACTATATATTTTCAGCTTGGCAAAAGTGTTTTAATTTTTGTGTGTGTTTTATTATTTATTTATATACATATTTAGTTTATTTAATGGGGCCAAATTATTTCAAGTGACCCATAAATCACTGTTATATAATGCAGTCTTTGTTAGTCAGGTGTAGAATGTCCATTCAGCTGTCCAGCTTAGAGGAATACGTAGCCCCGCTTAGTTTTCACTCGGCCCACCTGGTTATCTCTCTGTGAGTACTGCCTATTCTGGAAGATGAGTCACTAGGAGACGTCTGGCTGCATTGTGACATCTCTAAGGGACGTGTGCAAAAGATTCAGCTCTTCCACTGCACTCGTTCTTAGCTCATTCGCACAGCTCACTCAATCAGCACTCATCACAAAAACAGAGTTTAAATCTTTTTTTATTTTTTCTTTCAACACGTGGAAAGCTACAGTTTGAACATTAATCATTGAGAATATAGAAATTAAGGAACACTACAAGGACTATAATAACTACAGCGTGTTATAGTGGTTTTGGTATCAGAAATTCCCTTACTACTCGTGGCGGCCCACCAGAATATCACTGCCAAAGATTCCGTTTCCCTTGTTGATTATAGCTCCCAGAGTATCTTCAGTGATCATGGCTGTGTAGCAGATCCACCAATCACTAGCCGAGACTTATGGTAAGGTGAAATAGAACTGGTCTATTTTTACACAGGTCATACTTTTATGCGAATCCCTGTAGCTCCCTCAAGTCCAGGGTATCATTAGCTGCCTCACCATCTCCCTTATCTCCCCTTCACAAAATGCCCTGCTAGGTGGTTTTGGGACAGAGATAAAGTTTTGGCGTAGTGCAGCTGATCGAGAATGAGTTCTAGAGTGGTTGGAGGTTGCTCCCTAGTCAGACGCACTCTGCCTCTGGAGCCTCCCTGCAGCTGTACAATACGCCTGAGGTCAGCTAGGAAGGATGCTTAAAGTGGTGGCACAGCTGGAAGTTGAAATGAAGGTTATTACGACTCTTTTGGGCTGAGGTGGAGAGATACAAGCCAAGTACAATTCCTGGGTGACCGGTTGTTCTATCACACTAATGGTCTGACTTCTTACCTGGGGTCTGCTGAGCACTACTCCTTGCCTCCACTACTGCTAGGAGTTCTGTTTGCTGAACTAAGCCATAGCATGAGCTTTTGGCTCACACTTGAGATAGTTACAGAGGCAGAGAGCAGAGTTTGGAAGGCCCCATATGAAAAGGTAGCGAATAGTTTGACTACTTACATTGGGAAGCTCCAAGAGACTCTTGTTATCATAATAACTGCTACATAATAACTGCTACATAAGTACAAGGATTGTTCCTTTTTTTTTTTTTTCATATTCTTTATTTTTTGTAGTGCATTCGGTTAAGACAGACGCTTGTTGTGCCACAACAGCAGTAACAAGTAGAGTGGGAAACATCGCTTAACAGGCTTATGGCATAGAGAAGTACTGCACACATTTTTAAAGTTAGGTTAAGTAAAGTAGCAGGGTCACATGCATAGCCAACATATCTAAACTGTGTATAAAGAGTCGCCATCGTTAGTTATCTAGACATATTGGTAATTAATGAATACGGTTGAATAACAGGCTTATAAACTAGGCATATGCGTATGAAACTGAGCTCGTTAGACCAGACTTCAGGTCCTAGCCCAAGCAAACCAAGTGCAGGTAATTATGCATTTATCTAAGCACGCTTGGTACTCATGAGTGATAGGAGTTGTCTAGTGTTAGAGTCCCGAATAATTATGGTTACCACAGCACCGTCGTTCAGAGTCAGCTACACGCCAGGCGGCTCCAGTCTGAGCAGGTAGAGGCGGTATATGGCATGGGGGCTGCGGCTGGGTAAGGAGTAGTGGGTGCTCTCCGGGTTGTGAAGTTCCAGGCAAGTTCTTGTCAGGTAGGTCGTCGCCGGTTCTGAAGGTTGGGTGGAGGCTTGGAAGAGGTCGGGTCTGGGTGTTGCCAGGTCTATTGGCAGCCTTCGTTTGGTACTTTAGTAGGGCTTCCCGCCACTGCTTGACACCATCTCCCTCAGGGTTGTGGCTGTGGGGCGTTGTCACTGACTTTTCCTACTGCTGTTTTGCAGGTTCCGTCTCGGTCCCCTAGCAGCTTGCCGCAGTGGAGTTTGAGGCCAGTTGCCGACAGGGGTCTTCCCGGTGCTGCCTGCCGTCATCTTAGGTGAGCAGAGTGCTGCTGCTTCCTCTTGCCATCGCCCGCCCGGCAGGGTTCTCATGTGGGGGTGCCATGGTGGACCGTGATAACCCCCATCGGTCCAAGGAGGGGGGAGAGGTTCTGCGTCTGCAGGACTTCGGAACTGGAGGACCAGCTGCGTCCCCAGCCCTGCATCAACTGCTAGGCCGCAAGTCGGACCAGCCTCGGTTAGCGCCTGATATTATTTTTAAACCTTTGCCCCTCTAATTTAAGACTATGTCCTCTTGTTGTGGTTTTTTTTTTTTCTCATTTAAATATACTCTCTCTCTATATAAATCCCCTTCATGTATTTAAATGTTTCTATAATATCCCCATGTCTCGTCTTGCCTCCAAGCTATACATGTTAAGATCCTTTTAACTTTTTCTGGTATGTTTTACCCTGCAATCCATGAACCAGTTTTGTAGCCCGTATCTAAAATCTTTCCAAAGTATCAATATCCTTCAGTACTGCATACAATAATCAAAGTGAGGTCTCACCAGTGATCTGTACAGTGGCATAAGCAGAACCCTTTTTTTTACTGCTAATACCTCTCCCTATAGAATGAAGCATTTCCTGCTGCACTATTACATTGTCTGCTTACCTATAAGTCATCTGAAACAATTACTCCTAAATCCCTTTCCTTTGAGGTTAAGGTTAGGACTGTATCAAATTCCTTAAATGTCAATTGCAACAGCTCTGACCATTTTTCTAGGTTACCTAAATCATTTGCCATTTGGCTTATCCCTCTTGGAACATCAACCCTGTTGCAAATTTAGTATCATCAGCAAAAAGACATACCTTACCATCAACACCTTCTGCAATATCACTAATATTAAAGAGAATGGGTCCAAGTACAGATCCCTGAGGTACCCTGCTGGTAACAAGACCTTGCTTTGGATATACTACATTGACTACAACCCTCTGTTGCCTGTCACTCAGCCATTGCCTAACCCATTCAGCAATATTGGAATCCAAACTCAAAGATTGCAGTTTATTTATAAACATTCTATGTTCAACAGTGTCAGAAGCCTTACTGAAATCTATGTAAGCAATGTCTACTGCACCACCGTGATCTATTATTTTAGTTACCCAATCAAAAAAATCAATAAGATTAGTTTGGCATGATCTCCCTAAAGTAAAACCCATGTTGTCTCTGATCTTAAAATTTATGTGATTTTTTTTTTTGATGTTCAACAATCTTATCCTTTAACATGGTTTCCATCACTTTCCCCATACTACCTTTCTTGTGAATTTGCACAACATTTGTTAATTTCCAATCATCTGGGATTAATCCTGTTAACAATGATTGGTTAAATAAACCGTTAACATTTTTGATAGTACATCAAGCCTAAACTATCCTGATTTGAAATAAATTTATTTTATATAATATTAATAATATATAATATTTTATATAACCACAGATTGCTAATAAAAGAGAGAGGTGAATATTATCTAACCAAATTCAGTTGCTTTCTGTATTGAAAATTGTATTACATTGCACTTTTAAGGGAGACTAGAGTCACCAGAAACACTATAAGTGTCAGGCTTTGTAGGGTCGGCAGTGTAAATGCTACCTTTTCCGAGAAAATGTTGCCTAAGTTCACCTCTAGTGGCTTTCACTCGGACAATGACTAGAAAGACTTACTGGTGGGTTCTCTGCATGATGTATGCGCATCATTTCCACATACTGCATGGAGACTCTGAAAGCTCCCCATAGATATGCACTGAATAATTTCATCTTTTATGAGGAGATGCTGATTGGTGCAGAATGGTGACTGCTTCCCTGTAGAGAAGCATTGGATTGACTGAGATCACTAGAAGAAGTTGATCCAGGACAGAACCCTGAAGTTCTCTACTTAACACTTTTGTCTAATTTGAAATTTTCCATTTACAACTGCTCAATGTACTCTATCTTTAAGCCCAATAACACGGTATTTCATCTGAGCAAACTAGTTTTATTAGTAGCATTTTGTGTGGAAAGGTATTAAATGTCTTGGTAAAATCCAAATAGATCATATCTACTGAATCAACTTGATCTATATTTCTACTAACTTCTTTATAGAACACAATTAGGTTCGTTTGGAATGACCTACCCTTCATAAAACCATGTTGATTTTTGCAAATTATATTATTGTTCAGAAATTAATTCTTGAATATTTTCATTCAAAAATTAATTCTTGAATATTTAAAAGATTTCACAACCGCACATCTTAAGTTCACAGGTCTGTAGTTTCTGGGTTGAGTTTTTGAACCCCTTTTAAATATAGGCACTGCATCTGCTTTTCTCCAGTCCTCTGGTAAAATTCCTGAAATAAAAGAATCCTGAAAGATTACAATTTTGGTATGGATATTTCTACACTTGGATCCCTAAACACGCGTGGGCGAATACAATATGGCCCTGACGCTTTATTTACATTAACTTTATTTAATTTCTACATCCATAGATTCTTCTTCCCTATATACCTTCTGTCCTGACCCTTCTTAATGAACTCACCCATAATAGAAAATGATAGATTTTACTTTTCTAGTCTAACTCATTGCTCTGAAAGGACTTCCTGGTCTGATTTTATAAGAGGTATCTACATGGTGGGCTTTGATCAGCACCATTCCATATTTCATTCAGCCCCCACCTTCCTCACATATCTGAATTCAATGAGGGCACATGGAGCTGAAACACAACACAGAAGTTCGAACACAGTTTTCATTTCGGCAATTGTTTTAGTGGGACAAGTATGAGCGTTAGGAAGATTGGAAATTTGACTCCGTCAATAGTCTGCTGTATGTATGCAAACCTGGAAGAGTCATTTATATAGCATCAACTTATTCCGCAGTACTTTACAATATTACAAATGATGAAAATTTAACAATAAATGAGACAATCACAGAGTTACAAAAACAATAGGTTGATGAGGACCCTGCTCAAACAAGTTCACAATCTGGAGATGTTAGAATAAGACAAGATTGTTCTTTTCTTTATAGATAAAAGTTTTGAGAAACCGAGCTCTATTTTGGTACACATACTGTACGGGGTGGCAGGAACCTAAAACTGTGCCTTACAAACTGTTTATTTTATATGTTGATTTTTAGTTTTTTTCTGAATATACCAGAGTGCAGATACTCATAACATGGTATGGAAGACAAATAGGATAGCAAAGGTGTATGTATTGTTAGCAACTAGACAGCAATGGACAAATGTTAATAACTGAAGTGGTCACTTAAATTTATTGTGTTGACTATAACGCTATACAACTAATACTAATATATATTTGTATATTTCTGCTAATTCCAAGCTATGTAACTCTTTAAGAAACTATAAATACTGTGCTTTTCTTTGTGGAATAATCATTGACTAAACTAGTATCTCATTTATATGCATAAATATTGCAAGCAAATTCCAATGTAAAATAAATCTGCAGTGTTTACAAAAACAAAAGTTAATTTTGAATTGAAATCATAACAAACTAGAGATCCCCATTTGAAAAGCCTTTTTAAAAAATGTTAAACCCAAGCATTGCAAACAGGAGTTCTCAGGAGTTTCCAAGTGTGAGTCCTGAAATAAAGAAAATTACCAGGCAGCGGGGCTTGACTAGCATGCTAGATAGTCGCAGCAAGGATGTGCTTTTCAGCATTCTCAATATCAAAGTCACTAAAGTGCTAATTTATCCTGAATATTGACTAAAGCTGACTTGTTCCTGAGTCTCGTGCTAAATGGGCAACCTTATGTGAGCTGAAGATATTATCGACACTGCAGCTGAAGAGGTCCTGTCTCCTACTACTTTTCTGGTCCCTGCACTCCCCCTCATCTCTTTCCCCGTACCTGTGTGGGTTATCCTGGTCTTCACCAAGCATGATTTTACCTTTCTCCCACTCCTGGGTGCAATTGTGAAAGACCGATCCCACGCAGGTTATCCAAGATGGCTGACATTTGTGCCTTTGCTCCGCTTGTAGTGGAGGTGACTTAGCGGCGGTGGGAAGATGGCTTTTGATGCCATATGCCTACGGTTCTGGAAGAGCCAAAGTTGTCGAATGATACAACACAATCCAATCAATATCAAGCTGCCAGCCACCAATGAGGCTTCAGTTCGGGTCCCACTTCCTGGGTGCAGATCAGTGTGAGATTCTACACCCGAAAACAGTCCACATACCTGGGAGATCCTTTACTTTTTTAGGGCTATACACTATAGCTATAGGGAGCGTGGCATGTGGACATTGATTATTTCTACTAATGCCAAGGGCAACATGGATGACACCGAACATACCTCACACCATCACGTCGTACTCTAGTCCAGAGCTCGCTGTATTATTCCAGATTACTATTATTTTAAGCATTGTTTTTCCATATCTTTTGT